GGGTGCTATGCAAGGGTGGTTTTATAATATAGCAACATTAAGGGGAAACACACACCCTGGAAACACACACTGATATCAGCCACTAACTACAACCTCTGGATAAAGAACAATGAGAAAACTGGCTCCTTCCCAGTGTTACGTACATTAGATAAAAACCCCATCACTACTGAAAGCATCTTCTTAAGAAAATCACTTAGTTACATTAGTTCTCCTAAGGTGTGAGGAAGAACCTACACAGTTTGTGAATGGAAAATACAAACTCTTAAGAGATATCTCAATGTTTATTTCCAATCCAAATTCCAATCCAAAAAGGGGAAAGCTAATATTCTGCAGAAAAGCATTTAAAAACTTCTTAAAGTAGACTATGCCCTAAGTAGGGTAAAATACAGAACTCCATCTACAGCAACTCCAGGTGATAACAGCCCATGTTTAAAGGTGAACAAATGGAATTCCGTAGAAAGAGGAAAGCAAGTGGCTACATGAAGAATTCTTCAAGCATTCACTTGTCAACACTAAGCACACTGCTGAGAGCCCAGTGAACACTAACAGTGTCTGGTCCTCTGTGAAACAAAAAGGCCGGCAAGATGGCTTCATGGGTAAAGGCACTTGTTGCACAAGCCTGGAGTTAGAGCAAAGTTCCATCTATGCAGCCCATGCAAACACAAAACGAACCTGCACCATCCTCTGACCTCTACACAGCATGGCATGTGCGCCCACACACAACACAACACAACGCCATCCTGGCCTCCACACATCATGGTATGTGCACCCACACACAACTGTAGACACAATACAATAAAAACTTTTAAAGAAAAATAAATTGTGTGGAACTACAAAATGAATGCTAGGCTGACACTATCAGTGCATTAATAACGAGGGATTAATGCAAGCTCTGCTGTCCCAGGTGACCTTACATCACTCACATTCAGAGTCATCTCAGAGTACCAGGAGGCATTACAGTCTCCTGAAAACACTTCCCTAGACCGTCTCAAGCTCACATTTACAATAGTAACTAACGCTTTCCCTGCTAACCCAAGGGTCTGTGTTCTAAAGTTCTAAAATGGTCCGCGATTAAGAGAAACACTGGATATGGCCAGGGCTGTTCTGGCTTAAAAAATACTACTCCCTCCCTGGTCTCCACAATTCATCTATTTTCACATCTTGTATGTACGACTTCTCTTCCCAAGTCCAAAGTAAAAGTCATCACTGTGGAAGCATTTGAAAACGTTCATGTGGCCAACATCTTAGTCCTGTATCACTGGTGCCCCTGGTAGCTAGGACTAGTGGACAGTGACTCCACAGTGAGTTCCCTGCAGTTGTGAACGTTTAGCTCTCCAGCAGGAGCTTCCAGGAACACCATGTAAGCTGCCATTTCTCTAGATAATGGTATAAAGCAGCGCCCTGTGATTAGGTCGCAGTTCCTGCTCTGTAGGAAGGACTGCAATGGTGCTCGTTTCTTCTGCAGGACAAGAGATGTCCCAAACAACTGAGCAAGCTCATTTAGCATGTTGATGGCTGTCCAGGGGCCAACACAACTTGGCTTCTCTTTGCAACTCCATCTAAGCTAGCTCATCATTACATAGCTGTGCCTCATTCTTTGAAAACTGGTAAGTAACATCATCTTTAGTGATGGTTATTTTTCCAGAAATTTCTCAGCATGACAAACTACCTGTCAGGAGTATCAAGTATCACAGATAAAGGGCTTTCTTTCACTCATGAAAAGCAAGGCTGGTTCAAGCTCAGAGCTCCCCACTCACAGCTGTCTGCAGGGGTGAGAAAGGTTAGTGTTAGCTGCAAGGGAACAAGTACCTTCCATGTTTAAAGACCCTCCATGCTGGTAGTGTACAAGCCACATTTCTCACATGAGTTTAACTTGAGAAAATGTTTTAAAATTTCATTTTAGGCTCAGAGTTGCATCCCAGGTACTATGGGGGAAGATCTTACTATGTGGGAAGATCTGCACATTGGAACTTTAACCACAAAACAAGTCCCTATGATGACCGGTAGGGCAGATGAACCATAGCACAAAACCCATGTATAGATTTATACTTAGAAATTAAAAATCCTTTCAACTTTTAAAGCCCTTATGAAACCAGATGTCTAAACTACCTGCTGAGTATGGGACAGAGGTGCTGCTGCCAGAGTCCATGCAGTCTACAACCGAGCATGTTAAAGTGAGGATAGTTAACACTGCCACTTCTTTCCCAATTCAAAGGCTTTATCATAAGCTGCATGTGGTAGGTAGTTCAACCTTTAATCCCAGACTGGGAGGCAAAGGCAGGTGGCTTTCTGTGTGTTCCAGGCCAGCCCATACTGCATATTTTCTTGAGACATGTAGGTAACTCCAGTCCCTGAGAATCTGATACCTAACTTCTTCTGGCACACTTGGTACAGACATTCACTAAGCCTGGTTAGAGAGGTCCAGTCCACATTGCCTCCTCCCCAGCTCTAACAAATGTGGTCTGGTCCCTATGTCACAAAACACTGGGCCAACAGATTAAACCATTATGGTACTTGTTGGTGTTTCTGCTTTATTGCTTTCCTGCTCTCCACAGCCAAAGGTTGAGGGTCTAACTCCAGGAGTCACAAGGCTCCTTTACGCTCCACCAGCACGAGAGGAAAACTCAAGGATGTGGTCACAATTGTAAGGTGTCTGAAATGCACCAGCTTAATGGAACCATTAAACAGGAAAGCAACAAGACCATTTTGAGCCTATGAATGTTCCTAGCAGAATCAACACAACGGACTGGAAAGGAAAACAAAACCAATCACATGCGTCTTTAATGTTTTGCATTCTACTGATTACAAACCTCAGTCTTTTTTTTTTTTTTTTTTTTTTTTTTTTTTTCAGTTGACACAAGTTCTACTCGTACTGGCAGAAGAGACTAAAATCCAATTCAATTTTTATACCATACAGTACAGTGATTTAGGAAAAAGACTACCACAGAAACTGGGAGTATAGTGTGAACCCATCCTTACCCTAAAAAAGGTCATCAAGAAGGGCAAAGGCTTAGTGACACACCTTACTGTTTGCACAGTGCGACCTTCTGGTGGTATAGTGTGAACTTGTTTTATAAACTTTCTGCATTGTTCTCCCAGGTCATGTTTTTTAAAAACGTGTTTTACTCAAAACCAACTTCCCCTTTAGGTGCAACTTAATCACACAGACAGAAGCAGCCTTTGTGCTGTAACCTGGAGCTAAACATAACTGCTGTACCACAATTTCCAGGGTCACACTAACTGCAGGCATTATTTGATCAGAAGTTTTCCACTTTAAAAAATAAAACAAGGACCACCCTAGAAATTACCTGGAAATGGGATACATTCTCTTTTTATTCATAAATTACTATACATTGTCAGTACACCTTTTTAAAATAAGATATGGAGGGAAATCCTTTTAAATCTTAAATGTTTGATGATATTAATCTTTCAAAATAAGTAAAAAAAAAAAATCAAACCTAAATACTTCAAACTTCTTTAAAAAATTGTAAGTGAATAAAATCATAGGACTCTGGACATACAGAACTTTTACATACACACCACTACATACTTCAAGTGCTCCAGAAGCTAGAGCACCGACTGCTGGACCAGTCACATTCACCTTGTAACTGCTCAAAAGGACAGACTGGTCCTACGCATTAAAGTACATCTGTGCGTTAAATCCCTGCGTGTCCCAAACACCTAGTGCTCAGTGTAAACATTTCAACTATCATTTATTAATCATCCTTACTGGTACTTAGGAGTGTGTCACATATTCAAAGTTAATGTTAGGAATAGCACCATAACCAAAAAGGAAAAAAAAAAAAAAAAAAAAAAGAATAAAGAAAAACAAAAACCCGACAAAAATACTTCCTCAAAAATCCTCATATCTTGACGTCACAAGTTGAGAGCCATTGTCGACCACACCTAAGGTCACCAGATTCACTTCTGTTCTCCGATGGAACTTAATCTGATGAAACTACAATACTGCTTCCACACAATTGGACCAAAATGAGCGTGCGGGCGTGGGGGGGGGGGGGGGGAGAGGTGGTGGTGTTTTAGAAAGGACTAGCCAATCAACAACCAGTTAAAATTACTCTAAAACTGAGAACAGTTCTGTGTATGAAACCTAAACTCTCTAAAAGAATCTGTGTACTCATGAGTGCACTAATATATTTATTTATGGACGCTGGGTGCCTTTTTGCAGATAATGGTAAACATGGAGCTAGAATCCTGAGGCATCTAACAGGACTTGACACCTACTAAAATCTCTATGGAAAGCATCTTACCTCCCCCTGTGTTGTGGAGAGTTCTCTACCCTGAGAAAACCTACCAACCACCACTGGAAATGTCCAAAACATGCCATCTCCTGCATGAGAACACAGGGGTCCTACCTACCATGTCAAATGGAATCGACACACTAAAGAATATTCTCTGTTAGATGCTCTACCTTACCTGCCACCTCAGGGAAACAGGAGGAAACTAAGGTCAAAAATCACCTGAAAGTGTGTAAACCACAACATCCCTTTTGATCGCAGAGACTTAAGGGAAAACCCACTGGGAAGAGCTACCTACAATAGATCAAAACTAATCAAAAATCACTGTGCCCCAAGCATGAGTTCCTTATGTTAGAGGTCACTAGTAAAGACACACTCAGGCATCCCGGCAAAGGATGTTTACGATGCACTTGGCATGGATGGAGAATGACATCGAACTGTTTTCCTACATAGGTAAGATTCACAATTGCACTCTTAACTCTAGTTTTGACAGAGGAAAATCTACATAGAACTGAAATCCCATTAGCCCTGTGCTGTCTTATTAAAGAACACTTTCCCTAAATCTAAGGCACACAAACTTCTCTACTTCAGAGTAAGATTATGGAAGAGCAAGAATTTGGTAAATCCTAATGGAAAGTAAGTCTTGGACAAAACCAAGTTAACAATTTGTCAGTGAACAATCTAAAAGAAAACACTATAACTATGCTCTCAACTTAGACCTTTAAAATATGCACTCCAAACATGTAAAATATACCAGCACTTTATGAATTCAAGTTTATAAACAATTAAGTCATCAGGTTTTCCTTAAAAAAGAAAAGAGTAAGACCCAACAAGCATTTGGAAAGGAAAGTGGAAGCCATCTTAATAAAAATGACCAGATGTGGGCATAAAGTATTCTACTCAAGTCTTCAGGGAAAAGAATTAAAAAAAAAAAAAAAAAAAAAAAAAAAAAAAAAGTGGTAGGTGCCTCGCCTACTAATCATGGTTACACTTGCCATGATTATAATGTCAGTATGCACATAATATTTATCAGCATTTTGTAAACATAGGTCACGTGGATTTTTCTCCTACTACATGGCAGGGGTTTAGAAACTACCACTTCTGGACAAATTCAGAAAATAACCGTGACACTGTTATTACAAAGTAATGCTCACTGGTTTGAGTAACCAAGTTGTCTAGTGTTTAACGTGTCTCCCAACTCTTGCTGTACGTACTCAATACTGTCAAAGTAGATCTGCCCCCAAAATGAAGCATATTTTGGCACCTGTGCTGAATGCTGCTTCAAAACCAGCAAGTGCAAATAAAAATAACAGTCATGATTTAGTCACATTCACAAACTTTTCATAGAAAAATATAAATATATTCCCTGAATTGTAAGCCAGCTTTCACAATACATTCCAGTCAGTCAAGTGAGCACGCTGGCTCGCAAGGTCGTAAGGTGCGGTCACTGAGCACTGAGCTCTAGTGCATTCTCCATGCTTCTGTCGTCTTCCCCATCATGGTACCTCACCGTTCTCCTACCCTGATTTCTCGTTCTTATTTTTGAGCGCCGAACAACTCTTTTAGCTTTTGCATAGTCCAAATCTTCCCAGTCATTGTCATCCACATTTAACCTAGGACATTTACTCTGTCTTTGATGTCTTGCAGTTTTAGACAGGTTGGATGAAAAGGTTTTACCTTTTCTAACCACTTTTGTTTTTCCTTTCCTTTTTTTCCTCCTTTGGGTTTTTGTGTTGTCGGTACAGTCAATATCGGATTCCGTGGCCGACCCCAAATCTGATGACTTGGGGCTGGTGTCTGGCAGACAGGCTGAACTCTCTGTTTGTGCAGGCATGTCCATGAGGTCTAACTCAGGATGCTCTCTCTTCCCCGGAGCCTCTGCTGACGCCTGTGCTGCCCTACTGAAAGGGGCTTTTCCGTACGTCCTGAGTCTTCTGCCATTCCACCTTCGCAGTCCATAATTCAGGTCTTCTTCAAAGGCATTCTCTGCGGAAGCTTTGTGGGCCAACACTGACTCAGAAGACAAGCTAATCTTACTCTCTGGGGTGTGGCCTGTGGGGTCTTCCCGAGAAGGTCCAGCAGAGGAGCTTCCGGTTTTAGGAGGCATGTCTGTGCCCACACTCTCCATATTCCTGTCCTGTGTGCTCCCTGTGTGCTCCAAACAGGAAACCCCTTCAGAACCTGCATCTGCACTCGCAGACTGGCGGGCATTTGCTGCATCGCCCTGGGGTTCAGACTCAGGGAGCTTGCTACTGCAGGCATGCCGTGCCTCTGCCCCTTCACAGTGTGCGAGCTTCTCGCCACCACTCAGTACCTTCTTTGCTGCGGTACAAGCCAACCGGATGGGCTTTTTCCTTCTCCTTCTGCTTCGAGTACACACAGTTTCCAAGGCAACATTTTCTGCATCACCTGTGAACTTGACTTTATCAGCAGCCACACTGGCACTTCGAGTAACCCTTGGGAGATTGCTCTTATCTTTGGGTGACTTCTTCATCACCTGTAGATTGCCTTCCGAATCACTGGAACAGACCCTTTTCCGGGAAACTTTTCTGCTTTGTCCGTTCTCTTGAGATAAAGAATCTAAAAATTAAGAGTATTTTTTTAACCTTTCATACAAATAACTATTTCTGAAGTAATAATTAAAGGCTTCACACGAGACCATTTAAATGCTGAATTCTTACTACTACCGTGAGGTTGTTAGATGGCAGGAAATCACCCCTGCTGAGTGCAGCAGATCCCCCACCAATGACAATGTGAACAGGCTACCGTCATTATCACTACGGAACCAACCACCCCACCCTACCATTTCTCCTTCTCAAGCAGTGCATGCCCATGTTCCTATCTCTAATACAATGCCCCATTTCCAATATTCAAAGTAAAATCTTTCATAGAATAGTTAAGGCCCAGACTGTTCAGCAACTAACAGTGAGAACAGGAAGGATTAGCACAAGGCTAGTAGTATACAATCAGGAAAACAGTTGGCAAAAAGTCATCTAGAAGAGGGGAAACAGTCTACCAGCCAAAGGAAAAAGAAGGAAGGGATAAATTAGTGAATGTGAGTCTAGAATTACCGTTCATATCGCTGTGCAATTTATCTTTCACTGTGCCAACATCAGAATCTGCGTCAGTCTCAGATCCACGACCCGAGAGACACTGCGGTACAGGAATAGCTTCACTCTTGGAGGCTTCCGGCCCTGGGCTCCCTTCTACGGTGAGACCTCTCCTACCCTCTGTTGCTTGCTCCTCACAGTCTTCTGAATCGCTCAAGATCTTGGCTTTCTTAACCAGATGTGCATTCTTACATAACGGACTGCTCCCTGGTTCAGAGTCAGCGTCCTCAGAGATGCTCTCTGCCCCAGGTTTCTGCCCAGAGGTTGAAGGGGCGGCAGTGCTGTTGTGCCCATTATCCGACTCGTGACATCTGGAGTCTTCCTCAGAAGACTCTATTGGAAGGAACTTTGTTTTGCACGTTGCCAGAGTGTGGGGTGTGCAGCCATTAGCATGCCAGTTCTTGCGGGCTACTCGCAAGTCACTGTCTGAGTCGCTGACACTGTCCTGGGCAGAATGAAGACCAGACATCCACAGTGCAAGACTCTGGTGTTTTAGCTCTTCTGTCTCTGACTTAGCACTCTGGTCATCAGAATTGTGCAGCAACTTTTTCCTGGCCGCAGCTGACGCATTGCGATGTGGCAGCTTCCGACCAGAGCAGAGGCTGTCAGAGCTTGAGTCATCTTCTGCATCACTCATTAACTTTATCTTGTTTGCTGCAACAGCAGCACACTTCCGGAGGACTTTGCGGTTGTTCCCAGCCTTGCCTTTCACGTTTCCCTCCATTTCCACTGAATTGTTATCAGAGTCACTTAAGTAGACTCTCTTCCGGGTAGCTTTTCTGCCACATCCATTTTCTAAGGAAACACAACCTGGAAACAAAGTGACAGGATTAGGGAACTTTTCTCTTATTCTGGTCATACTACACCCGTAGGCCAAGCTAACTAACCTCTTTCCTAATACCTGCCTCAGCTTCCTAAGTAAGGTTACATACACTAAACCCACTAATTTTTCAAATGTTTTTACAAGGATTGTCATATGTTGATGATTTTCTTTCCAAATGAAAAGAGTTGAGAGACATCAGATTTAGACGAACTCAATTGTGTAGCTCAGCAATGATTAGTTACTGCAAGACTGCTCTCACTGACCAGCTTTCCTCTGTGCAGCTCTTGTTCTCGTCACCCTGAGATTGCTGCTTCTCAACAAGCCACTGCGCAAGGAGCACTCCGGAGCCCCGGGACTCTCTTTGCTTTCCTCGGAACTATTAGAAGCTGAAGACGATGAAGAGGTAGCAATGAAATCTTCCATTTCACTTTCTAAAAAAAATAAAATAAATAAGACACAGTCTCCACATAAGCAAGCATTTGTTTTATAACCCCAAAACGTCATGGTCTAATTCACACTAAAACCAGACTCTTGGGGCTGGAGAGATGGCAAGAGTTAAGAGCACTCGCCTCTCCTGCAGAAGACCCTTCAGTCCCCAGCACCCACAGGGCAGCTGTTCACGACACCCTGTAATTCCCGTTCCAGGTGACCCGATGTCCTCTTCTGGCCTCAGTGGGGACTAGACACATGAATATACACATGCTAGAAGGTACAATCATTCTGGGTCCTTTGATCTCAAAGGCACCAATAGCTTCTTGACAATACAATTCTGACACAAATCCAGCTCACACAAAGGGCATAAACAGTCAGAAAAAGGAATTATCTTAATCAAAACAATCCCCCCCCCCACTGGCATACATGGGTGGCATGAACACGAGACAGTGTACAGCCTTGTTTCATGTCAACTCGACAATAGTCATTTGGGGAAAGGAGCCTTCGAATGAAAAAATGTCCCCACCAGACTGGCCTGTGGGCAAGACTAGTGAGCTTCCTTAACTGGTGACTCACGTGGGAAGTTCCCTGGTCTCATGATGCTGGGTGCTACAAGAAAGCAGGCTAACAAAGCCATGAGGAGCAAACCAGTAAGGTGCTCCTCCATGGCCTCTGCTTTAGTGGTTACCGCCAGGTTCCTGCCTTGAGTTCTTAAATCAACTTCCGTTGGAGATGGAGGGTGACCTAAAAGTTCTAAGCCAAATAAACATTTTCTTCTCCGAGCTATTCTTGGTTGTGTTTTTAAAAAAGCAATAAAAACCCTCACAAGTACTTAGGAGGCAGAGGCAAATGATCCCTGAGTTCCAGGCCAGCCTGAGCTACAAAGTGAATTCCAGAGCAGCCAGGGCTAACATAAACAGCGCATTGCTGTAACAGACCCAACTATGTTATTATTTTGGGGTGGAGTGTTTCTTGTTTTTGCAAGATAGGGTTTCTCTGTGGAGCCCTTGATGTCTTGGAACACACTGTACACCAAGTTGGCCTCAAACTGAAGAGATTCTCCTGCCTCTGCCTCCTTAGTGCTGGGATTAGAGGCGTGCATCACCACCATCTGACTATAAAAATGAAGTGATCTTTATGAAGGCTCTACTGTAGCAGGGCACCTAGGAGAGCTCTGGACTGGCAGAAGTAGGATTCTTTTCTTTTTCAAGACAGGGTTTCTCTATGTAGTCCTGGCTGTCCTGGAACTTGTTTTGTAGACCAGGTTGGCCTGGAACTCTGAGATCAGACTGCCTCTGCCTCCTGAGTGTTGGGATTAAAGGTGGGTGCCGCCACCACCTGGCCTATGACATTAATATTAACACGCCATCTTAGGGGACAAAGAAGAAAAAATGTGTTGGTCAAGAAGTGTTAAACACAAGCTAGAGTCATTTGGGAAGGAACCTCACCTGAGAAACCACCCTATCAGATTGGCCTGCGATAATACCACAACAAAAGAAACCCTAAGAGATAGGGTACTCCAGTGTCCTGTTCTTACACACTTGGAGACTTTATTCTGCAAACGTGTCCATAACTGGTGTTTTAAAAGAAAGTATGTGTGGCCTTGTTGGAAGAACCTTGTCACTGTGGAGGCGGGCTTTGGGGTCTGATACGTGCTCAAGCCACACCCAGTGTCTCTTAGCTCCTTCTCTGGCGCCACATCTGTCTGTATACTCTTCTTGCTTCCTCCCAGGATGACAAAGAACCAACCCTCTGAAACTGTAAGCCACCCCCATAATTAAAAGTCCTCCTTTAGAGTTGAGTGGTCACCGTGTCTCTTCACAGCGGTAAGACAATAACAACACACCGCAGAGTGTACCAGCTTGACCTTCTCCGCAGACCACTTCCTTCCCAAACAATCTGTGGATGTGTTTCTCAGTATCACTAGCAGTAGCACTAGATGCAATATTTGATGTTGCAAATATGGAAGGGCATAGACTATGACAGTAATATATTCGCATTACACAAAACCCAGTGCAATGCAGATATGACAAGGCAGCCTCGCCATCCAATGCCAGACAGGGACGACATCTTCACAGGTACATCACCAAAACAACAACTACCTAAGCAGATGGCAATGTACTACTGGGTTATTTGCTCTCAAATGACTATCTGTACTTTGAATTTTATTCTCATTTAAAGGACACTTTGTGAAGCACAGACGGTAGCAAAACCCCACCAATGCTCAAGCGTATTCACTCTGTCTCCTCCCTGGTGTCACGGCTGTGCACACAGTGATAAGCAGCATTGCACACGAGGGATCCGCTCCTCACCTGACAGCTCAGAACCATTCCTCAGACTTTCAGGTCTATTTCTTCTCACTCTTTCTAATGACCCCGCTGAATCTGAAGAGTCCCCCGAAGTGAAGCCTGAAGAGGCTCCAGTGCTTGTCCTGAGGGCTGCAGACAAAGGTGCCCTGCTTGAGGTAGACTGGGAGGGAGGACACGTCAACTGTGGAATTACTTTTGTCTGAGATTTGAACTGCTTCTGTTTGATATTTCTGGTAAAAGGTATGAACAAGAGAAACAATTTTTAATAAAACATAAACGTAAACTGCCAGAGAATGCCCAGATAAAAATAAAAGTATACTGTTTCTTAACCTGAGAAAAATCACATAAACAAAATACTAAAATATTCACTACTAATGGTATTCACTATGGATTATTATAATAAATATCTCCTTACTCTAAATTTGACGGGTTTATTCAACTTTAGATAAGTGATAAAACGATTCAATTAAACAGACTACACCTAAGTACTTACTCTGTTTAAGACAAACCTAGGTAATATTCACAAAGAGATTTTGGTAGTCCCAAAGGAGGAAAGGAAAAAGAGGCAAGGGGGGGGGGGGGGAAGGAGAAAAAAAAAAAAAAAAAAAAAAAAACATTTAAAAGAAACAGTGAATAAAAACTTTTTCAAAATTTGACAAAAAATTCATACCCACAGAACTGGATAAACACCCAAGTAATATAAACTCAAGAGCTCCAAACCTACTTACCTGGTGGGTAAAAAAAAAAAAAGAGGAGAAATAAAGAAACCGTGGAAGCAGCAAATGGAAAATAATATACACAAGGGAAGGAGTTTAACAAGATCAGTAGCTAGCATGGCAGGTAAAGTGACAAGAATTCACAACCATCCAAATTATTTTTCTGGGCTATAAAGAGAGATCAGGAGTCAGGAGTACTGCCTGCTCTTCCAGGGGACCCAGGTTCTCAGCACTAGCACGGCAGCTCAACCCTCTGTAATCCCAGTCCCAGGAACTAGACACACATGTAATGCACATACTTAACCATACATATAAAATAAAAATACCCGTACACACAAAAGAAAAATAAAATCTCCAAAACGAAATTTTGGAAATTACCTTCAATAATGAAGGTAAAATCAGGACACCACCGAGCTCACAAAGACGGAGAAGCAGCACCCTGCTGTCTCATCAACCTGCTGTGAGGACCGAGGAAAACATCCTCACCAGGGTAACCCAAACCGACACTCTTATACCCAGACACTCACAGAACCAATATTAAATGCAGTAGTAAAAGCTTTCTTGACTCTAAAGCTAAAGATAGCTATACAGATGATCAGTGTTCGTGCACGCCTTTAATCCTAGCACTCAGGAGGCAGAGGCAGGTGGAACTCTTCTAGTTCAGGATAGTCTGATCTACAGAGGAAGTTCCAGGACAGCCAGAGCTGCTACACAGAGAGACTCTGTCTTGGGAAAAAACAAAACAAAACAAAACCCAAGAAAACTATATAAAAGCTGAGAGTGTACATCAGTACTTCAAAAGAATTTTTAGCACGATTTAAAATTCCTTAAATTAAAAATCAATTACATGCAATGTCATACCCACTTACCTTACATTTCTGTCAACATGAATGGCACTATTACAGCTTTGTCGTTGCTTAAATCTTTGGCTTCGTCGAAGTTTCTCCTTGAATTTTTGACCAATTTTAAAATCAAAAGAGATTTTCTTCATCTTTTCTTCAAACAAAGCAGACAATCTCAAAGTCATACTGTAAATCTACAAGGACACAAAAACAAAACCAGAATTACAAAGTGACTCTGTCACAGGTTTTCACTTATAATCAGAGGTCATCGACAGGGTATGGAACACTTCAGATGGGACTATTCTCACGAGACCAAACTGGTTTTTTCACACTTTAACACTGGTCCCAACCAGTTCCAAATACACATTTCTCCTTAAGCTAATTTGGAAGTCAGATCTAACGCTGCTATTAATGTGTATTTAGATCAAGGAAACAAAAGCATTTTTACAACAATCTCTTAACAATTTGACTGGGACACCACCTAAATCTAAATCTAAATAATAAACAAAAGGATGTCTTGCAGCCCAGTGCATCCACTCACCATGCAGGACCGAGAGCTCTGACAGCCTAAATGTTTCTGATCTGCAGACACAGTGCTCAATTTTTTAACCACTGTTGTAAACTTGATAGCTATTTTTAGTACTTTCTAAATTTGCTCTTTAGTAATGCCAGTCTTCAAAAGTTAACAAAATCATCTCAGCCACTTTAAAGCTGAAATTTGATCATCTTGAACATCATATTTTCATGTTTTCGCACTGGAAATTCAGTAATATATTTGAACTGAAAATAATAAGACACTAACAGTGATAACAAGCTAAATATAAAAAGGGGCATTTATCAGCAACCAAAGCTAACATAACAAATAATGAAGAAAGACTAAACTTTTAGCATTACTATTCAACATTACACAGAAGCACCCTGGATCTCTCTTACCCATTTATTACCCATTATTTACTCATTTACCCAATTATATTAATGGACACTTCCACAAATAAGCTACACTTAAAATACTCTGAATTCACACCATTTCTGAAAAGCATGATATAATCTCATGTCATTTTGCAACAATCCACTTGGGATATGAATCATCTTTATGTCCATAGTATTCATACTTCATATATTATCTAGTTCATGGAAATTGAGACTATAATCAGTAACTTTTATTGCTATAACTGTGCTACTAATAATGGTAGATATAAGTAATCCCTTACCATGTCTAATTTATAAATTAAACTTCACCACTATCTTCACCAGCTATCTCCATGTTCACATGCAAGCACTTTCAAGATTAAAAACCATTAGTATGTGGGCTTTGGCAGCAGCTTTGTCCAACACAGAGGTCTTTGTTTACCCAGTTATCGCACATGTTCTAACTGCTACTAGCAAGTATAAAAAAAAAAAAAAAAAAAAAAAAACACAGATCATGCATACTTTGTTAAAATAAAGTACAGAAAAAGAATTACCTTTGATCTTTTGTTAGGTGTATATGCTTTTGCATTGCTAAATATTAATCGGATGTCTTTGCAAAATTCCACAGGGCTATCATAATTCCCAGCTTCTAGAGTTTCCCTTACTGTTCCAAAGTCCATTGGAGTGTCTATAATATCTCGGTAATCCTGTTTTAAAAATGACAATTCACAGATGAACTTCATACTCTCAAAATATAAACACATAAGGGACTGTGAAATGGATCAATAGTTAAGTACACCAGCAGCCATTGCAGAGGACTCAAATTCCTAGCACCTACATGGTGGCATACACCCATCTCTAACTCCAGTCCCATGGGATTCAACACTTCTGGTTCCCCTGGGCAGTACAAAGTAAACTAATACACATGTAAATATAACATACATAAAATACCCATACACAGGACTAGAGATGGCTCAGAGTTTAAGAGTACTGGCTGCTCTTCCAGAGATCCTGATTTCAATTCCCCTGCAGCCACATGGTGGCTCACAACCATCTGTAGTGAGATTTGGTGCCCTCTTCTGGCAGGCAGAACACTATATACATAGTAAGCTTTTCTTTTTCTTCCTTCCTTCCTTCCTCTCTTTCTTTCTTTCTTAAATGCCCATACACACAAATTTTTTAAAAGCAAATATCTAGACCAAGATCTCTAAAATATCCAAAATAGCCGGGTGGTGGTGGCACATGCCTTTACTCCCAGCACTCAGGAGGCAGAGACAGGTGGATCTCTGTGAGTTCGAAACCAGCCTGGTCTACAGAACTAGTTCCAGGACAGGCTCCAAAGCAATACAGAGAAACCCTGTCTTGAAGGAAAAAGAGGGGAGGGGTGGATTTAAAGACCTAAGGATTAGTGTTTAAAGGCAGATCTATAAAGGCAGGAAAGAAAGGCAGGGTAGGAAGTATCATGATCACACGTCTACCTGTTCTGTTTCAAGTGAGTGAGTGAGTAAGCATGAATGTAGGAATGTGCACCATATGCTTGTCTGCTCCCTGAGGAGGGCACTGGATCTCCTGGGACTGGAGTAACAGATGGTAGTAAGCTGCTATGTGGGTGCCAGAAACTGAGCAACCAAGATCTAACCTATAAACCATCTCTCCAGCTCTAGTACGTTAGTTTCTTAATTTTGTGGCTACAGTGAGTGATGCCCACGTACAGACCTCCCATTACATACTATACTACCCTGTGCAAACTATGTCTTAAGTTCTTAAGCGAGTTACCACATCTACTACAACTAACCTAGTACTAAGAAAAAGCACATCAACATGAATAAAGCCTACCACCTTACTCTCTTGGGTTTAATCTAAATCTGCCACCCTCCACCCTTCTCCACAAAGAAATTGCCAATATTCCATGCAAGGACACTTACTGGGTACTCAACCAAGTCCACTGGCTGTCTGAAAGGCTCAGAGTCCTCACACTGAAAAATCAAGATGAGCAAGGCCTTGCACTGTCTCCTCCAGTCGCTCTCAACACAGCCGGTGGCCCTGCTGCTCCTTTTTTCCCAGCTAAGGACCTGAAAACATATGTGTAGGTTACTTCAGCTTCAGTGGGAAATGGGGAAGAGCACACACACATGACCGCATATGACATTAGCTAAAAGAGAAAGAAAAACAGCAGCAGCCATTGGGCTCATCTTTCTGTACTGTTTAGAGTTATTTGTTTTGTTTTTCCAACTTGTTATTGAGCTGGAGAAAGCTGAGTGCTACAAAAATCAATCATGTTTTATGATGCTCTAGACAGTTTTGTAAAATGGAAATTTTAAGACAAATATACTTTAAGAAAATATTAATGAGAAAAGTTACAGTGAGATTAGATATGAGCACAGCACACACTATCTAACAAGCAATCCTGCCCATTCTCTCGTCTGTGAATCTTGTTCACAGAGTATGGGCTGTCACGTCACGCTCATCTGAAAATGAGGTGGCAAGAATGACACCTCAACCAAAGATGTCACAGACCAATGTGACCAAAGGAAGGCAGGTTAGTCAGGGACATAAGCAGCTATGGTCTGGTGTGAAGTGACTGAAACGGCAAACATGCAGCAGGTTGAGTGTGTGTGCGTGTGAAAGTGTGTGGGGGTGGGGGGGTTGGGGGAACCATAATTTTAGTGAGCCTCCTATCAACATTCTACTCCAAGCACATGGCAGCGGCTGAATTGTGGGATAAACTATGCCAGTGGCAGCAGGAGACACAGCAAAGAAATGAGTGTGGGAAAACACTTGCAGCTCTGCTGGACACGAGCCAACATGAAGATGACAAAGTGGACGGGACAATTGCACGTCTAGCTCTTCAATGTGAGCGAGGGCAAACATCAAATGAAAGCGTGGATATAGACTGAATATGTATTTGACTTGCTGGGCTGACTGATGTCATTTGTCTGTCTTTTTTTTTTTTTTTTTTTTTTTGAGATATCTTACTGTATAGAACTCACTATGTAAACCAGGATGTTCTCAAACTCACAGCTCTTCTGCCTCTGCTTACTGAGTGCTGAGATTAAAAGGTGTGTGCCACCACACCCAAATGATACTTATGTTTTTTTAAACCTTAAACTTCTGGAGCATCTACGTGACATTTTAAATGTCATGCGACATAGTATTTCTCCCATTCCCATTAACTTACTACAGAAGCACTGAGGATTCAGTCTCTGTAACAAATCTCCTTACAAACTTAGCGAGTCCCCTGAGCCCCTTCAAAGGTGGCACCACTGCTTCTTCTCTGTGCCTGGCCTTCACCACCATCTGAAGAGCTCCCTTCTCAAGCATCTACTCCTCATTGAAAGGCAACCGGCAGAGACCACCCCATCCCCAAGCTGTATTCACCCACTACAGTTACAACTGCAGCTCTACCTTCAGTCACATCAAACCCTTGGACTGGGTGCTCCAGGGAACATGCACTGACACACAAATCAGACTAATGGGCTCCCTACTTCTTTTTCCCTAACCGAGAACTCAGCTCCAACTAAGCACTGCTAAAGTGCCCAGATCGTAGTGATTTTCCCTTTTTCTTTTACAAGGCAAACAAACTCACACAAAAAATGTCCAGTATCATCATCTAACTTTCAGGACAGAAGCTGTAATCCAGATGAACATTTGATTTTGAACACAGGACACACAAACCAGTTAGCCATGCAGATCAACTTACCCTTCTCCTTCCAGAAGACGTTTTAGGGAGGTCACTATCGTCCTAGGATAAACCAGAGCACCTTACTATGGAGTTTTCACCAGAAATCATCATCTGAGCAAAGGTGTACCAGAGACATCACTTAACCATGAACATTCTCATCAAGGGCCCTATTTTCATAGCTAGTTGGAATATACCACAAAAACTAGTATTAGATGACCTACATTTTCTACTCTGGCTTTGAAATTACCGTTTGTCATTAACACATAGTTATAAAGTTAAAGCTTCATACCAAATCATCGGCATCCTGATCATCGTTTTCTGATGTGTTAGACAGTTCTGATATATTTGTACAATCTTGATTCCTAAAAGTTAAAATGTTCAAAATTAATCATACAAAGAATAGTTACTCCTGACAAGCATTCCCTTCACATTAAAATGCGAACAGTTCCCAGCCCAAGCACATCCAACTTTACAAATGACATGAGATTTTTAACCACTCCTCTGTGAAAATAACTGACTTTAATATTCTAATTTAGAATAATGACAATTTTTTAAGTATGTTCAAACTGAAATTGATAAGTGGCCTCTCCAGGCTGAACACAAACATGTCTTTTCCTAGTTATTACCACAGTAATATTGATATAGCAAATAACACGAAAAAAAGAGATTTAACATAGAAATGAAACAAACCAAATATTTAAATGTCAGTGAATATACAAAGGAGCAAATGCTAAAAGGATGCCCCAGAAAGGAACGACAAAAACAGGCATGCTGTTTCCTGAAGCAGAGAAAACCATTCTGGAGGAGGGCCAGCCAGCAACATCCAAATCCTAAGGATTCAGGACAGAAATGGCCTAGGAATGCTGACAGGGATCAGGTTATGCCTCCATTTTAGCTACATGCCGACTATGGCGCTACTGTTTGTTGGGTCATCTGCGAACATACAATGGATGACATCTCAAAAGCCTGTGAGGGAGGAACTCAGTTCTCAATTCCCATGTCAGTTTTCATGAATTCCAAATAAATTTGCAAAGAAAGCAAATGTACAGAACATTCATACATGTCTGCTTTTACAAAGTACAATTCAAAATGGATTACATTTCAACCTAGTCATTAAAAGATGCCTGCAAAACTAAGCAGTCTACAAAACTAAGTGACTGGCACTCAGGAGCAGTCAAGAAAAATGTAAGAGGAGATTAAGACAACAAAGTAAACAAACTCTGAAATGATCCTGAAACACAAGGACACTGCTGTACAATAAACTTTGTATCTTGACACACTGTATCCAGGTTAGTTATTTAACACTTTAATTATACCATAGCTAAACAGAATGTTCACAGATAACTGGATACTAGGCACAGGGTAGTATAAATTACTTCAAATTTGCTGAAGAGATTGCTCCTCAGTTAAAAGTACTGACTGCCATTGCAGTCACTCAAAACTATCTCCAACTCCAATTCCAACGAATCCCGTGCCCTCAACTCTGCTGATCTCATCAGACATCAGGCATACACACAACTCATAAATATACACGTAGATAAAAACAAAACATACTCATATACATGAGACTTTTAATTACTCCAAATTTTTATATTTATAAAAGTGGGGATGGAGAGAAGGCTCAGTGGTTAAGAGCACTGGCTGTTCTTCCCAAAGTAACTATCATCTTTAACTTTAGTCGCATGAAGATCCAATCCCCTCTTCTGGCCTCTATGGGCACCATGCAGGCAAATAGTAAGAATACATATATACAAGCAGGCAAAATTCCCATACAGTTAATGAAGTATTAAAGATTAAAAATGGGGATCTGTAGAGATGGCTCAGTGGTTAAGAGCATTGGCTGCTGTTCCCGAGGTGCTGAGTTCAATTCCCAGCAAACATATGGTGGCTGACAACCATGTGTGATGAGATCTGGCACCCTCTTCTGGCCTGCAGGCATACATGCAGGCACAACAGTATATACTAATAAGTAAATCTTAAAAAAACAAAAACAAAACTAAAACTGAATCGGTCACATTCCTTTACTGAAATTATAATCACAAGCATGTGCAAAGGAATGCTGCCTCAAGTAAAACGTCCTATGGGAAGAGCCCGGTGTAAAAATGAGAGTCTATGAGGCGATTAAAGCACAGGATGTTGAAAAGTCACTTTCTACCACACAGGACATCACTTACTTAATAAATTTCAGAAGCTGCTCCGTTATTTTTTTAGCTGATCTTGCAATTACACTTTCAGGTTCATTAAATGTTCTTGCATTATGCTCTATATAGCGGACTTCCCAAATCAATGCAGATAATCGCCTTGAAAAGAAAAATAACTAGTTACTTAAAAAATGAAAACAATCAAAACCGAAAGTTAGCCTGTCCAATGACACATCTCTGCAAGAAAACATTAGTGAAAGGTTGTAATAAACAGCCTTCTAATGGTCTCAACTTAGTCGGTCATCACAATTATAATGAATTACAAAAACGAATTGCAGTAAACTTCCTTCCTCCCTCCTCACCCCTCCCTCTCTAAAACAGCCTTTCCTTTCCGTCATGCTATCACTACATTCGAAGCTGTTAAAACTCAACAGATGGGACCTGGAAGATGGTTCCACAGGAACAAAGCCTTGCTTGCTGTACAACCATGAAGATCTGATTATACTGCACCGCACCTATGTGAGAACATGAGCGCAGAGTGCCTTTAACTCCACCACTGAGAAGTAAAGACAGATCCACAGAAGACTCAGTATCAAGGGAGGAAGGCACAGAGTGTTACCACAGAATACCCTGGACACTTCCCAAAGGCACAGCAGCACAGACCACACATACCCCTCCCCCGGTGGTGACACCCTGCCTGAAAATCAGAGTGCAAACCTAGTCACTACTTAGCCATAGATGTCAGGCGGTGGAGGCTCACACCTTTAATCCCAGAACTAGGGAGGTGGAGAAAGGAAGGGACATGGCTGCGTAACACAACGCAGAAGGAGACGGAAGCTCATTGTGCTCATATGAGGACTAAGGGGCAGGATCGCCCTTTTGGTCAGAGTATTCCAGAGTTACGAACTAATGGCTGGCTGCTGCTCTGCTACTCTCATCTTTTAGGGTTTAACCCTATATCTGGCTCTGTGTTTTCATTATTAAGACCAATTAGAATTCATACACATACACACATACACACACACACACACACACACGGAAAGGAGGTCGCATTACAAATTGGTTTCTACTTGAAACACAGGACTACATATATAAACTCTCACTGTGAATAGTAATTATGTTCCACAGTAATTTCATCAATGGATTACAAAACAATGAAATATCATCTATTACTGTAAAAACAATAATAAAGAAGTGATTTTAAAATTAACAATGATCTAAAAGCCAACAACAGAAGTTGGATATCCCTGGGAAATAAGCTTTCCTCAGAAGAAACCAGTCCAATTACTAACTCATGAAATTTACTTTTAAATGTAGCAGTTGGGCCTGGAGAAATGGCTGAGGTTAAGAGCACCAACTGCTCTTCCAGAGGACCTGGGTTCAATTCCCAGCACCCACATGGCACCTCACAACTGTCTCTAGCTCCAATTCCAGGGTACCTGACACCCTCACACCAATTCACAAAAAATAAAACAAAACAAAAATGTGGCAATTAATAGTTAACTCTGAGAAAGGGAGGCAAAATTCAACCCACTGTAATTGGGGCTACCTCAAGATAAGCGCTCTCAAAAGATTTAGGATCTTTATTCCAAAACAGGCTATATACCACACAGCAGTAGATACCTAAATCTCTACCTACATTATCATAAAAAGGGATTACATTGTTTCATAAGCCTTTTCCACTTTTAGTTCATGATTATTAATGAAGTTATAACTGGACTATATAGTCAAAATTCAACAGTTAAGAGCACTCGCTGCTCTTGCAAAGGACTAGAATTCAGTTCCAGCAGCCTCACCAACTTTAACTTAAGTCTCTTATGCTGGTTACTGTGACCAAGAGCTCATTGTGGTATTTTGAAAAGGGTGCTCTACTAACCTGTAAAATCGATTAACAAGTCTCATTCGAATTGTGTAAAGATCAGTTGGATAAGCCACCACTGTGCAGTATTTTGGATAAGTACAGAGATCCACTGGGCCTGCAAAAGCTGCTGCTATATCTGTGGGAGAAGACAAAATTCTAAGCTTTTAAACAGTAAGTTCATTACCTATAGGTGATATTTAGCTACAAAAACATTCCCAAGAGAGCTCCATTTAACATGACAAACCAAGAGGAATTAAATGAAGACCATAACCTAAATTATACATTTAAAGTTCTCTTACGGAAAACTTACAAATGCAAGTTCAGCCTGATGAAACTCACCAAGGTTTAAAAGTTGATCTATGCCACTGATGATGCGCTCACACTCCTCGTCTCTTGATCTCTGGCCCCATTCACCATCTCGTGGTTTGTAGAGCAATTTCTCTAGCTCATCTGAAGTGACAGAGATACTTGATCCCAATTCTTCTGGTGGATCAACTATGAATTCCAGTTTTAAAAAGATTAAAAAGAGGTGTGGGGCGAGAATCAACACACAATGTATACTATATAAACAAATTTAGTTGGAAAAGACCACGAGCTAAGCTATCTCAACAAGCAAAAAACGACCTCAACTCTTCAACATTCTAAATTATTCACTGAGATTACAAAATTGCTTGAATTGAGATGTAAAAAACAAATTATGGCCCTGGTAAAGTCTGAATAGAGACCATCTTTTCATGGCTTCAGTCTATTCCTTCAAAACGTAAAGTTCCAGGAACCACTGAATGAAATCTGAATAGACTGTATTAAGAAACAGGATGAGGGGCTGGAGAAATGGCTCAACGGTTAAGAGCAGTGGCTGCTCTTCAAGTGGTCCTGGGTTCAATTCCCAGCAACCATATGATGGCTCCCAAACATCTGCAGTGATATTTGATGCCCTCTTCTGCCATTCGGGCCATACATGCAGGCAGAAATAAATGTATGTATGCATATATGTATATATGTGTATATATGCATACATACAATAAATCTTTACAAAACAAAAACTGATCAGGCAGTGGTTGGTCCATACCTTTAATCTCAGAACTCAGGAGGTAGGGGCAAGCGGATCTGAGTTCAAGGCCAGCCTGGCTGGTCTACAGAGCTAGTTCCAGGACAGCCAGGGCTACCTTCCACATAAGCAATGATGTACTGTTCAAATGGGAGTGAATCACCATGTTATTATGAAAAGCATTCCAACCATTTCTAATCTGAATTTAATAATGCTATGGTGATATGGGATGACCTCTGACCACTGTGAATTGTGTCACTATGATAGGTTTAATAAACAAGCTGACTGGCCAAAAGCTCAACAGGAAACAGTCTGGTGTAATGTAGACATTCATGAACGTTCTTGAGAAGAGTCCCTGTCACTAGAAGATGGCAGCCTACTATTTATTTCAAGTACACGTCTGTGACTTAGTTGTCATTACGCCTGTTGACAACTCTCAAAGCTAACTGGCAGCCTTAGCATGAAGGGCTGGATTTACACAAGGGTTTTCACTGGCTCAGAACGTATCTTAATAAAAAAGCAGTTGTAAACAGCACTTAAGAGGAGCCACACACTTAAAATTCAATTCTAAACTCAATGCATGTGCAACTTTAAACAAGTTAGACAAAAGTTCAGCCTTAAGTTTCTCCTTTGTAAAGGTTAATTAACACTGAAGCTGTCACCATCAGGGTGGCCAGGAACCCTGAATGACAGAGAAGACACGGCAGGCGTACTGTTTGTCACCTTCACATACAGAACACTGTCTTTCAGACCAGTGGACACTACAGTGAGTTACTAAACTCAAAATAATAGCAAACAGAAGGCAGCTACCAGTGATTTCATGTTATTGAAAATGGGGAAGTTTTGGAAAGACGGGTCTTTTTGAGGCTACATAACTATTAATGGTAAAGTAGTGAAAAGAGCTGTGCTGCACTGTTCACAAAGGAACATTATAAGATAGCCTTCAACATGGCCAAACATAAGGGACAGCAGAAGGCAGCAGCAAACAACCTGCCGAGACCGCCAGGTAGCGTGGGAGAAAGGACAGCATTTCAGAGCACAAAGCGAGCACAGGGCACAGGGCACAGGGCACAGGGCACAGGGCACAGGCAGGCAGGCAGTCACAGGTGCTCCTTTTATGGGTGAGCAGGTAAAGAAAGAAGGAACATGTATGCTGGAGTTGAGCAGCTAAGACACCTACAGTGAATACAGACGCCAAGACCCAAAGAAAACAAGACCAACAGGCACCAAATTGTTTTCTTCCAGCAAAGCTCTGAGACCATGGTAACTTTAGGACATTTATGATCAGACACAAATGCACCCTACTATGTGCATAAGCAAGAGAAAACTGGGAAGATAAATATTCTCATAACTTATGACAAATATATACCATTGTCAGGAATTGGTTCCATGTCCCATGGGCTAAGTTTTTCAATTTCAGTATTGTCCCACCTGTTTAACAAAGAACAGGAAACACTAGTTAGCTTTCCCAAAAACAAACTACAGAATAACAAGACATCAATTAGAAGAGGAATATCAAAATTAGCCACATTGCAGAAATTACATTTCCAACATTAAAAAATTGAGAAAGGCCAGGTGGTTTTAGCACACACCTTTAGTCCCAACACTCAAGGTAGGGGCAGGTCAATCTCTGAGCTTGAGACAAGACAGCCTGGTCTACAAAAGGGATTCCGGGACAGCCAGAATGGTTACACAGAAAAACCTGTCTCGAAAGACGCCCCCCCCCCAAAAGAAAAGGAGAGAGAGGGGGAAGAATGGAGGGAGGGAGGGAGGAATGGAGGGAGGAGGGGGGGAGGGAGGAGGGGGGGAGGGAGGGGGGAGGGAGGGAGGGAGGGAGGGAGGGAGGTTATAGCCAGGGATGTTGGAATGCGTCTTAAATCTCAGCACTTGGGAGGCAGAGGCAGCCAGGCAGATCCTACAGCCAGCTAATGGAAAGGTGAAGGTTTTTCTGAATGTTATTAATGATATAGCACCAATGCTGGGCTGTGACTGACTCAAGAGTACTAAACATCAGTTATGTTACAGTCTCAGAGACATTCTGGCTCAGTGGTTTAAATAGAGTGGACCTAAAAGCACGTTAGTCACATGGAGACTTGGAACAGTAAACAACTTTTCTCTACATACAAACCTAACAATGTAACACTGGAAGTGACTGTCAGGGTACTGTGGTTGATACGGCTCTTGACTCAACACAGTTCCAAACCACCAAGCATCATCAATAATAGATCGAAATCTGTCACCTATAAGAGAAATGATCAAGTCTGAGACATGCCTTTGCTAGCATTATGTACACCTTTTACATATGAAATACCACAATACACAAAGAACAGAGACCAAGCACAAAGTTTAAGAAAATTCAAAATACTCAAGAGTTGTGGTATATCATCACAGTTAGGCCCTGTGTTCAGCCAACATTTAAGGAAAAGGAGACTGACATTCTCTGGGTGTGTAACACTAAAACCTTAAACACTATTGAGAAGTGTTACAAAATACTAAAAAAAAAAAACAAACAAACAAACAAACAAAAAAAAAACAAACAAACCAAAAAAAACAAAAATTATAGCAGCTATGATTTACTTGTCACTACAAAAATATAACATAAAAGTGTTATAAGTTCTTAAAAAAAAAAAAAAAAATCACATGAGCAATAGAGTCTGGAGTCAGTAAGATGGGTTAATGGATAAAAGCAATTGCCACCATGCCTAATTGCCTAGGCTGCCTAAGTTAAATGCCAGGGACCCTTGTGACAGACAGAAGAGCACAGTCTTCCAAGTCCTGACCTTCACACGAGCCACATGGTATGATCTCACCACATACACTCAAGTGCATAAAATAAATTTTAAAAGAAAAAAAAAATAGAAATCACATCTGAAAATACAAGCATTAAAAATGTATTATTATTTAAAAGAACTACATAGTTACTAATCAATCCTACTACTATCTTACAATAATTCAACAGGAAGAACTTTCTAAAGTCCAAAGAAAGAATGGGTCTGGACTGCAGCCCTATGGCCTAGCTGAGTGCCCCCCCACCAGGGTCTAAATATTCAAACTTTAACTGCAGCAGTGATTCCAGACTGTGAGAATTTAAATGTGTCCCACAACAATGAAATCTGACTTTAACTCAGTGGATAGCAGCCAGTTCATCTATGCTCTCTACATACTGTAGTTAACATAGCATTTCCCAAACAGCAAAGAAAGTCACCCATCCCCATCTATCCGACCGCTCTGTAGGTTCAAATCCAGCCAGCCTGGTCTACAGTATTCCAGGCCAGTCAGGGCCCACAGTGAGACCCTGTCTCAAAAACTAACTTTAAAATAAACAATAGGATAATAGCACAGTGTAAAACTGAGATCAATCAACTTCCTCTACACATATGGACTGCAAAACAAAGCCACTAAGATTACAAAGAAAAACAAACCATAAGTTTTGAAAGCTTCCAAAGCTTCCACTACTGCTATATATGGAGAGGGGTGCGAGGGCAATTTCCCGGAGTCATTCCCTCGCAGACCACGTTGATCCCAGGGACTAGACTCCAGCTATCAGGCTGGGACAGGGCACTGTATCCCATCAGCCATCTTGCTGACCCAAATGACTCTATTTTTGTTTTTAACATGTTTTTTTTAAAACAGGGTGGGGAGAGGGGAACACCCACACTCAAATAACATGCATATAGGTGCCCAGTGGAAAGGTGTCAAACCCCTTGGAGCAGAGGTGCAGGCAATCATGTGCCAGCTAGCTAGCTGTCTGACATATGGGTGCTTGGAACTGAACAAGTATCCCCAATTGCTGAGCCATCTTTCCAGCCTTTCTACTTCTTCAAGACCAGTTTCCTCAAGATATCCACTTGCCTCTGTCTCCAGAGTGGAGGGAATAAAGGCATCCACCACCAATGCCCAGCCCTGTATTTTTTTAAACCATCAGATTGTTTTACATACCCTTCCCAACAATGCGACCCTTTAACGCAGTTACTCATGCTGTAGTGATGTCCTTACTGTAATTTTGCTACCGTTAAGAACTGTAATGTGGCTGGGCAATAGTGGTGTATGCCTTTCATCTCAGCACTCAGGGGGCAGAGGCAGGTGGGCTAAAGGTCAGCCTGGTCTACTGAGAAAGTGCCAGGACAGCCAAGGCTACACAGAGGAAAAAACCTGTCTTGGGGAGGGGGGAATCATAATGTGAATATCTGATATGCAATGTCTGTGACAGGGTCATCTGTCCCAAAGAGGTGGTGACCCCACAGGTTGAGAACTGTTGTTTTAATTTCTATATAAGTATAACTTATCTGAGTACAACCAAGATAATTATACACAGCCAAGAGTGGTGCTACACACCTTTAATCACAGCACTCAGAAAGCAGATCTCTGTGAGCTCCAGGCCAGCCAGAGTTCCACAGTAAAATAGTAACAACAACAGCCGGGTATTGGTGGCGCACACTTTAATCCCAGCACTTGAGTTTAAGGCCAGCCTGATCTACAGAGCGAGTGAGTTTAAGGCCAGCCTGATCTACGAGCGAGTTCCAGGACAGGCTACAAAGCAATATTGAGAAACCCTGTCTCAAAAAATCAAAACAAAAACAAAACAAAACAACAACAAAGAACAACAACAATAAATAACAAAACAGCAATTAACAAATGTGCACACCATAAGCAATATTGTGGCTAAAAAGTCTACACGGAATAGATAGCAATTAGCACAAGTACTAAGCCAATATATTTAAAGGTTGTTTATGCTTCTAGAAAGTGTTTGTTTGTATAAGCAATAATTAAAAGTGCTACATCCAAAAGCAGATCAATGGCTTTTTAAGACTACATACAATTCAATAAGAACAGACTTACAAGGCTGCCAGTTTCTCTGTCTTGCTTCATCATAAAATTGGCGCAACACAAGAAAATCAATAACATCTGGCATATCATGATATCTAAAAGAAAATTAAAAATGACCACAGTGGAGAGCAATAAGATTCAAAAGGCACAGGCACTGTCATTTCAAACTCCTGTGTACATGTACATACACACACAAGGGTGGAATGCAGACGTTAGCCCTGAGTGTCATTCCCAAACGCCACCCGCCTACTCTTCCAACAGGCTCTGCCACTGGTCTACAGATCACCAAGCAGGCTGGACTCGCTGACCACTGAGCACCAAGGCTGAGTCATCTTCCCAGGCCTGTCTACCCACACTTAGAGAAGTCAGAGGGGGCTAGAGAGGTGCTTTCAGGGCAATGCAAGGACTGACGGCCAGTGTCCACATGTGAGCCAGGTGCCCATAACCCTAACGCTACAAAGGCACCGAGAAAGGGGCAGGCTCCTAGGCGTTGCTGACTGCCCGGCGAGCAAATGGTGAGTTCCAGGTTTAGTAAGTCACAGCACAAACGCAGTGTGTACTCAACTTGAACCCTGCACACTGAACATCCACGTGACCAACCTCCTGCATAGGCTCTAACCCTCTGCCTGTGTGAGCACTGAGAAAACCACCCCAGGAGCAGACTCCATGCCTGACTGCTGCCTTGCAGACCTGACAGTGCTTGACATGTATGTTGCAGCTAAATAGGAAGAGCCCACTAACCAGAGGATGTAAGCAATTCCCCAGAAACATAATACATACCTAATGGAGAAAGATTTATCTGTAAGTCTGCCAGTTGCTGGATCTATAAATGCTAGTTTGAGGCAACAAAGGGTAGGTGGTCCAACCTCGTATCTTATTCCGACTATTTTCACCAACTCTTGATCCTGTAATAGACATTTACTTAGGAACTATATTTTCTTTTTTTTAAAGTCAATTTATCACTACCACAATCCTCTATGTACTAGCAAGCTCCTAACCTGGGATTCCAGATACATAAGTGTCCCCAGAGGACAGACACCCGCCTCACACAGAAGCATGCTCTGTATAAGCAGTTTACTCACTTCAAGTACAAGTGATTCAGGATCAGTACAAAGTAACCAGTTAATGTGATAATTTATTGACTTATACTTTAACTTTCATTTTATTATTTCTTTTTGTTTGTTTGTTTGTTTGTGTACATGTGTGTGGCAAGGCACCCAAGTAAAGGTCACAGTAATACTTACAGAAGAAGGTTCTCTCTTCAACCATGTGGGACAGGGGATTGAACTCAGACCCTCACCCACTGCACCATACATACACCTCTGCTCTGTATTAACAGTCTAACCATGCACCAGACTAACTGACCTACCCTGAGTTCCATTTTCCTCCATGGCTCCTTATTAGGGTTAAGCTCATAAATCTTATTTCTTCTCACAGCTTCAATGTACGCTTCGTGACCCTGACGAAAGTAGATCACCTGCAAAGGGAAGGGTTTTATTTTTGTTTTTAACCAGGAAACCACTAAGCCTCAAGAGTTTTGCTTTCCTATGCACACCCTCCAAGGTTTCTGTTCTCACCTCATCACCCATCTGAGGGACAAAGGGGGACTTGCGAAGTGTAGTGTCTGTTATCCAAACCGGAGGGTGAAACTCACACAAATGATCCGTATCTGCAAGCTCTGGTGGAGTTAGCCTTCGCAAACTCTGTCAAGACAAAGTAATGAAGCTTGGTAGAAAGGGGCAACATAAGCTATTTAATTGGCAAACAAATATTTCACTATTCAGAGTCATTTTGTTTAGATCAATACACAAGAATAGATTGCTTTTATGAAAATTATGGAATGTGTCTGGCTCTAACCCTCCACTTACCTACAGCTTCTAAAGTCACTGTAGAGCTACCTAAACCCAGCCTAGGACTCCCTCATACCCCAAGCCCTCCAGTCCTATTCAGCGTCTTCTACACACTGATATGGGATGTCCTTCTGTATGCTATAAATGTGTTGCTTTTATTGGTTGATGAATAAAGCTGTTTAGACCAATGGGCAGGCTGAATATAGCTAGGTAGAAAATCCAAACAGAGAGAAAGAAGCAGTCTGAGAGACACCATTAGCCAGCCACCCAAGGAGTAACATGTCAGAGCATCACTGGTAAGCCACAGCCTCATGGCAATACATAAATAGAAATGGATTAATTTACAAGAGAGAGCTAGCCAGTAATGGGCCCCAGTCATAGGCCAAACAATTACACATTAATATTAAGCCTAGAGTATTCTTTCATAAGCAGCTGTGGGGACCCGGTAAGCGAGAGAAAAACCAGTCCAGTGGAACCAGATGAGACAGAGAAAACTTCCAACCACAAGGCTCAGCCTAGGACCCTCATCGTCTCCTAGAACCAACCTCTCTGAATGTGAACAAAGCCAGTAACAATAATCTCCTTTTGTGTTTTAAGTACTTTGAGATAGGTTTTATGAATCCCAAAATGGGATTCCTGTTATTCAGGAAGAAATTACCTGACCCTGACCCACCAAAATATGACACTCATTAAAATGCCTAAGTGACAGAGGATCTGTCACACAGGAAGAGAAAACAAGAAGAAAGCTCGACATTATAAATAATGACCCTGGCATGAGAAAGTACCTATGGGGCATGAAATAACAAATCATTACTACAGTCAGAGAAATATGAAGACAGAAAATATAGCATAAAAATGCAAAATCCAAGCAGTGGTACTGTAAGGACTCAGGCATTATGCTGGGCTGCCCGTCACCTGGCAGAATGCCCTCAGGCAGGATCCTGGTCTGCACACAGGTGCAAAAGACCCCTGGTTACTTACGCTCTTTCCCACCGTTCCTCACCTCTTCTCTTCTGCCCCCTCTGTGTCTCTTCTTTTGTCTTTTCTGCCCCCTTCCCTCTCCTTTCAAATAAAACTTCTCACTTACGCTCTGTCTGCCTGGTGTGTTTGTCCCTCTGTCTCGGTCAACCTTGCTGGCCATGGAACTGACAAGGTCCCCAACCTGCATTATCCTAACAAGTGGCATACACTTTTAATCCCAGAGGCAACCAGATTCTCTGTGAGTTTAAGACCAGCCTGGTCTACAGTTCCAGCACAGCCAGGACTACACAGAGAAACAAACAAAACAAAACAAAACAAAAAAAAAACCACCAAACAAACAGAGCAACCCAACAAGAGGCAGGAGAAATATCCAAATCCCTCAAATTTACTCCTGGTAGCAAGGTCAGGTTCTGCTCTAAAGCTACACTGGACACTCTTCATAACAGTGCGGCCTTCTTCCAACACGCTGCTCTTTACTCCTTTGCAACAGACCCCAAGGCATTAACAATTATAAAAAGGGAAACCTTAAAAACGTTTTTTTTCATAAAAATAAAAATCAGAAAAGTTGAACAAGCCCGGCCAGAGCAGGGAAGCAATGGAGAAGTGTTTTAATGGTTATAATAAGGGTTAACACACGGGACAATTATTCTGCAAAAGTCAGGGTACCCAGTACATTGTTACATGCCTCATTGAAGACCAGTGCAGAGCATTTACCCCAGTGTGAGGTTTGAGGTCCTGGGTTCAATCCCAGCACCAAGTAAAAAGAAAAACTACAGAAAAAGACAAGAAATGCAAACAAACAAAAGGCAGAAAAACAAAAACAGCAGCAACAAAAAGCCCACCCCAGATGTAGAAAACAACGCCGAATGAAAGTAGAGGCACGCATATTTTTAAAGGTTATTTTTCTGACCTCTCTTTTAGGCTTGCTTGCTTTCTTTCTTTTCCGCCTTCTTTTTGGAGGAGATACGTTCTCTGCAGACATTTCATCCTCTGAACTACTGCAGAATCGGGTTACTCGACGGCGACAAGATGTCCTTAAAGGAGGCTGCAAATTGATTCCTGTGTCAGCTGTCCAATCAGAGTATCGAGAGGAAGAGTCACTGCAAGAACACAATGTTGTAAGTTGCACAGGACCAAAATGTTAGTATTAACAGCAAGCTCACAGTGGAAGCCTGAGGGAATAAAAGGGGTGAGCATGAAGAGAGGAAAACCAAGGATCTAGGTGTAACTTAACACCCTGTTCACAGTGCGAGCAGACCAACAGAAAAACAGAGAGCGCAACCAAGATGGAGGAAGAAATCTTCACCAGGGCTACAAGGATGGCTCCACCAGATACTTTTTCAGGGCCAGGGTTCAATTCCCAGCACCTACACAGTGGCTCACAACTGTCAGGGATTTTAGTTCCAGGGGACCTAATGCCATCTGACCTCTACAGGCTATAGACATGCACGGGTACACAGACATGCATTCAGGCAAAACATTCATACACTTAAAATATATGTGAATCAGGAAGACTGATTCACCAACAATGGAAAGAAAGTTAACACACAGAATGTTTCTGCTTGAAGGCAACCAGGCTAACTCCTAAAGGAACTTTTATCTTTTGTGGCACCGGGGACTTAACCCATGCCTTGTGCATGCCAGGCAATTACTCTACACCATCAGAGCTACATCCCAAGCCCTTTTCTTTTCTCAAGTACCCTCTAACTGAGAGCTGATGAAAGTCAGGCCTACCTCAGCCAAGTGATAGCTTCCCTCTCATAATGCTAAGCATAGTTACTGAAAACATTACAGAGAACCCTAAGAGCCCCAGCACCTCCAAGAGGCTGGTGAATTCTAACTTGCATCACCAACCAATAATAGAGACATCAAGTGATCCAAAGGAAGCAATTCAATCCCAATGAGAAAGTGATGGATTCTTACAAGAGGCTGACCCTCTCTGACAAGCTGGAAGTGCAGGAAAGGGTCAGCAATGGCTACACCCTGAGTTATGCAAGTCAAAGTAAAGTAGGCCTGTAACAGAAGCTTCACAGCACAGATGGGATGGAGGAGGTCTCCACTGTACCTCTCAAGTGCTTCACAATGTATTCGTTTTTGTTTTTCTCCTCAACAGGGTTTCTCTCTGTAACAGCCCTGGCTGTCCTCAAACTCACAGAGACCCATCCACCTGCCTCTACTGCCTCCCTAGTGCTGAAAGGTATGTGCCACCACTGCCCAGCTGTAATTAGCATTTTTATGTCATGGTTGCTCCACAATTCAAAGAAAATTCTTAGAAGACTAATGCATGTTTTTGTGCTCTAGGACGCTAGTAACATCCCAGTCACAACAGACCAAACAAGATAAGTAATGAGGCAGAATGCACCACAGAAAAAGACAACAGATGCTAGATGACCCGTGTGCTATGGTTAAGGGGAAACTGAGCATGGCTAAACAGTTTATGTAGATGAAAGCAATGTGAGAAAAATGGAGGCTTAAGTCATACTGGAACTTGGATCTTAATTAAAGACACTTAACCATGAGTACACCATAAGTACATAAGGCTGAAGACACTGGATGCTCATTTCAAGGACGGCCTAGGGTGCAGTCAGTGTCTTTGATACGCATCGCTAAGCTCTGGGTAAGCGGTGCAGGCCCCGTGCAGAGCAGAGCTAGTGTACTTGTCTCTCTGGCTGCAGGGACTGAGCTCCCGGGGGTCAGCACAAACAGGCACCTTGAGCTTTCGCTGTTACTCCGGCTGTCACTCCTCCACTCATCGTCTTCTGAAGAGCGAGAGCCTCCGCTTGGGTCACAGGATGTCTCCTGCATTGTCACAGGGGGGAAAAGGTCAAAGTGCTGAGTCACCTATCCCAACAAGACCCCCATCGTTAGCAGTCATGTGACTTGGTAAAACTTAAGAAGCATGCCACTTTTACTAAACCAGTGAGTAGCCACTGAGAGGAGGTATCAATAGTTCGGGTTGGAACAGAGAATGGCTGCAAACTCCTGACCTTCCTGGGATCACAGGAGTGCGTCTCCAAGCCTGGCTTCCATGTGTCTTTATGTGCACTGGTGTTTGATTCCCTGGAACTGGAGTTACAGACAGTTGTGAGCTGCCATGTGTGTGCTGGGAACTGAACCCGAGTCCTCTGGAAGAGCCACCGGTGCTCTTAACCACTGAGCCATCTCCCCAGCCCCAGGCCTGGCTTTTAAATCCGTATTTATTTTTATCAAGGTATTGTCCAAGGGGATGTGAGGCTGACTCTGAGCACAGGCAGGGAAATGATGGACTGTGGTCTGGGCTCTGCTTTTACATCCCAGCTACTTTGAGGGTACATGGGGTCTCTACCTGAGGGTCATTTGCTTTCAACCCTCAAGATGAAATGGCCAGTAGCTTTCCACACTGCAACGCACTGTTACATGCGTTCCCACTTTGAAAAAAGATTATTTTTCTCAACTACTCCACTTCAACAGCTCTTTACGTACACTGAATGCAAGTTTTTCTCAAGTATTTTACTTGTATGGTTGTTGTCTTTTTCTCATAAGAGTTATCTTTTCTGGAGCAATTTTGAAATTTCAATTTAGTCCAAGTTACCCATTTGAGACTGTACCTATTTCACTTCAGCTTCTACAAATTGTAAACTCTTTCATATTTACATTCAGTTTGTGACTCATTCTAAGCTGTTCTTCCTGTCTCCCCACAGACAGGGCCTCAGCCTTGAAGGTCAGAATGCAGGCATGCACCGCCAGATGCAGATTGGGGAATGCCTGAGAAAGACCGCAGAGCAGAGTGATCTTGTGGGGGTGTGTCCACGAGTACTCACTCAAGCACTGAGCTGTCTCTGCGGGACATCAGCTGGCAATGACCTGTTCCGGACTATGTTGTTTCCCTGACTTTTGCTTGTTCTTCCCACAACATCACTGTAACAAGTCATAATGACAGCCTCTGTCTGCCCTTTAATTATGTTCCTCTGCAATTTTATATTAGCTGTCCTGTATTTTTATTTTCTCCCTATAATTTACTTAAAAAGTTTGTAACTTGCTGGGATTTTGACTAGAATCCTACTGAATATACAGGTGGTGGCATCCTGACAAAGACATGATCCAACAGGTGTGCTCCTTTGATGCTAAAAAGAATCCAACCAGACTGTTAGTCTGTCCAAAAGTTAAACAGGCTGATCACACAATCCATGGTTTTCAAAGAAGCTCCTGAGATAACAGTTTATAAAAGTTGCCATAAAGTTGCACACAGATGCTTACCGTCTGCATGCATAACTGTCAAAACTCCAACACCAAAATGTTACCTTCAAACAATGGGATACTGAGCTATAAAATAAATGAAGTTATCAAGCTAGGAGAAGATATAAGAATGTGTCGATGTGTTACAAAAGGCAAGAGGAGCCAGGCAGGGGTGGGGCATGCCTTTAATCCCAGCACTTGGGAAGCAGCGGCAGGGGGAAATCTCTGAGTTCAAGGCCAGCTTGTTCTACAGTGTGAGTTCTACAGACTGAGCTACACAAAGAAATCCTGTGTTGAATCTGAGGCGGGGGAAGGGGTAGGAGATGATGGGATTATTTCAAGGCCAGTTAAAAGGCTCAGGGACAAAGGTATGCTTGGCTGTTGGGCCTAATGACCTGAGTGGACCAAGCAGAGCACTGTTGGCCACAAGTTGCAGTGTGACTTCCACACACACACTTTGGCAAGCTTACACCTACATCTTAGACACAAAATACATAAATGCAAAAACATTGAGGGGAGATAGGGTTTCCTCTGTGTAACAGCCCTAGTTGTCTTAGAACTAGGTCTGTAGACCAGGCTGGCCTCAAATTCAGAGATGCACCTGCCTCTGCCTCCCAAGTGCTGGGATTAAAGGCATGTGCCACCACCACTTGGCTTGTATTATTCAAAGAAAAAACAAAAATAACAGAATTAAGACAAACTCAGCAGACTCTGTTGGCACAGGTCTGCCATTAAGATCGACCCAGGAAGACCCTCTTAAAGATCAAAAGGTTTTACAAGTGCTGTGAGACCTTCCAGTCCACCTACTCTGTCTAGATCTACCATATCTACCATGCCTAGGTTCAATCCCCAACACCAGAACATAAGCACATGTGCGCATGAAAGAGTTAGGCAAATCTTCATAAAGTCCTCCTACTCACATGTCTAATGGAGCCTGAAGACTCATTTCCAGAAGATAATTCACACTGGCCAGCATTTCTTCTACCATAATTTGCAAATTTACGCCTACAGGTCCGTTGTCTTGACTGGGACAGCAAAACCACTGAATTTGACTAAAACAAAGAAACATGAGCATTACCAACAAAATGGATTTTGTATGGAGTCAACTATGAATGGCTTTGAAGGAGACAAAGATTAGAAATAATTTTTATCAAATATTATTTACTCCAAGTTATTTTTTACTTTTAGTTCCTCAGAGTGCTTTAAAAAGACACTCGCCTTTTTCACACTACGTTGTAAGCTACCATGAATGACATGAAGCCATCATGAACAAGATTTCACAGGCTTCGATGTGACTAAATTGGTAAATGCTGACTTAGCAAGTACAGTAAGGTTCAGTCCCCACCAAAACATAGACCTGGGGTGCTGGCACATGCCTGTGTAATGCCAGCACTCAAGAGACAGGGAGGGGAATTAGAAGGTAATGTTATCTTTTTATCAGTGATAAAAAATATAAAAACTAAAACATATATATATTATATATGTACATATTAGAATCATAATCAACCCTAAACATTATCACAATCTCAATACCTAATAGTTACAAAAACGATCTTTAAGTAGTAACAAGTATCTCCAATGTTTACATCATAAATACAAAGTGCTGTGGTACAGGAGTTGGAGACAAGAGCGTAAGGAAATCCAGTCTGAAGAGATAGATGGCTCTGTGGTTATGAACTTGTACTCATCTTCCCAAGGACTACCGCTTGGTTCCCAGCACCCATGCCAGGCATTGCACCAGCATCTGGATCTACAACTGGCCCAGGTGATCAACACCTTTTAGCCTCCACAGGCATACACACACACACACAGTAAAGTAAACATTACAAAAAGCTGTCAAAAATTTAAGGTCATCCTTGGCTAAACAGCTTATTTGAGACAGACTCCCTCCCACCACTCCCAATAAAAGAGGAAAACACTCCAGCAGCAGAGCTTTTAGAAGGGCACAAGCCGTTTCAATGCCTAAGATTGTGCATGACTCATGACTGAGACTGCTGGAACTTCCTTCAAGAGCACACAGCCCTGCAAGGCATCTATACAAGCTATGACGGACAGCTAGCTGTCTCAGAAAGACAGCACACAGCACATGGGAAATGAGAAAGACATCTTGATGTACTGTCATTACAAATCATCAGCAGGGATCCATCCTTAACGCTACAGAACCCTATATTAAGAATTAAAGGTTCTACGTTGGCTTTACACACCCAAACACAGACCTGAAAACATTAGAAAGCTACTGACATTTTCATAAATCACAGAGAACCCTGAGTGCTATTTTGTGACTGGAGAATGAAGGTACCGTTTGTGAGAGCTGGGAAGACGTCTTTTTCCTTCCCATCACATACAGGTTTCTCTCCTCTTCACCTCTCTCCATTCGAAAATCTTCCAACCGCCTACAAAAGTAAGTATGTGGTGACAGAGGCTCCTGGGCTGATATAATAAATCACTACAACTTTAAATATCATTCAGTTCCCCACCGAGCAATGGTGGTTCACGCCTTTAGTCCCAGCACTCAGGAGGCAGAGACAGGTGGATCTCTGTGATTTCGAGGCCAGCCTGGTCTACAGATCAAGTTCCAGGACAGGCTCCAACGCTACAGAGAAACCCTGTCTCTGAAAGACAAAACGGATAACATCATTCAGTTCATAAAGCTTTAATGGACATATGAAACAAATAAACTTAAAAGAGCACACGGCTGGGCACAGTGCCTCTCCCCCACACTTGGATGATGAGAAGAACGTCCCCTAGGAAGTTCAAGCCTCAATCGGGCTGCATAGCTAAGGTCCCAAATCAGACTGCCTAGAGCTTTACATTTTATGTATCTTTTACTTTTTAATATTTATTAAAAACAAAACCTCAGTGACACCTAGTCACACTAAGTAAAAGCAGTCATCAGTCTGGAGTGGTCCTGTTAGGACATCACAGCTCCCTGCTCTCACACTGCCCGCATTTCCAAGGACTACACTTCCTTTCTGTAAATAAAATTAAAACCGTCACGTTCCTATATAAGTTAGTCAACTCCATGTTTTATACCTCACACCAAATAAAAAATAGCAGTGCTGTTCATTTCTCCGTGTGCATGTCATGAACACTGTACAGGCGTTTTAACCATGATGTTAAAAACAGCACTTGTCTTCTCTGTGGAAAAGTCTCAGGGTCTCTGGATTCTAGCCGGTGCCTTGTTTTAAGGTCTAAATGTAGGACAGGGTGATGTCTCAACCACTCTGCCTATGTAACAACGTACAGCAGACAAGAACTGATGCCTAAGGAAAACTTTAAAAAAAAAAAAGTGCATGGAGGGCTTTTTAATTCTTTAAAATGGCTATGAGTGTGCTTTGCCTACAGTTAGGCACGTGTACCACATCTGATCACCTGGGACTAGAAATACAGATGGTTGTAAACCATCCTGAGGGTGCTGGGAGTCTAACCCAGGTCCCTCGAAAAGAACAGCTAGTGCTCTTAACCAATGAGCCATCGTTCCAGCCTAAGGTTTTGTTATTTCTTAAATATCTGAATTAAAACAAAGCTGAAGGAAGAAAATATTTCTTTTAAAGGTAAAGAAAGAGAATTGAGGATCTGTCCAGTTCTTTACAAACCTATGTTACAACTGCATGATCAAGAATGTTAAGAGGAAACCTCCTTAAAAGCACCCATTACAAAGTAAACAAAGAGACCCTGGTCACATTATCACCTAATCAAAGAATCTAGCCACAAAACATCAATAGGTGCTGATACAATAAAAACAAATTAGATGTTATATGTGTTATAATTTACAAAAAAGAATACAGTACAACATTTGAGACAGCTGGCAAGTTCAATACTAACTACATCTTCGGTTATGTGGAAGAATTCTACATGTTTAAGGTGTGGTAGAGAAAATAACACCTGACTTTTTTAGGAACACATGCTAAATCATCTAAAGAAGACACTATGTGTCTTTAATTCTAACAGACCAAACAGAACTACAATGACAGAGTTCACTATGTAACAATGCTGGGAAATGACATTCAGAATTCTGTCCACAATTAAAATAAATGTTAATCCTTTACTGAAATATACCTAAGTGGTTACTCCGCATTTATGTATATGGGACACAAGTTGTGTAGCTCACTACATTAAAACATTATCCTAAAGTTAAGAATGTACCCTTCTGCAGACCTGAATATGCCTGGTGGTGCCTCTGGCACAACCACTCTCCGCTTCCAAGCCTGCAGGTCTCTTTCGGTGGCAATCTGACTTCTGGGAGCATTCTGATGCATCTGACGAACACCTTCAACCTGCCCACTCCGGCGGAGGCCGATGTTTGGAGGAGACTGGATGTCTAAACTCAGTCTTCTAAAGCCTAAGAAAAATTATCAGGGGATTATTAGTCACTTAACACACATGCGGTGGTCTGAAAGAAAATGGATCCCAAAGGGAGGTGTGGCCTTGTTGGAGAAAGTGTGTCACTGTGGGAGTGGGCTATGTGGTCTCTGTTGCTCAAGCGACATGCAGTGTGGTAGACCGTTCACTTCTGTTGCTTTCGGGTCAAGATGTCAGGCTCTCAGCTCCTTCACCAGGACAATACCTGCCTGCATACCGACATGGCACACCATGATGAGATAATGAACAAACCTCTGAACATTTAAGCCACCCAATTAAATGTTTTCCTTTATAAGGGTTGCTATGGTCTTGGGTGTCTATTCACAGCAATAGATACCCTAAGACAATATTTTAAAAGTACATTCCATTAGGACACATACCCTAAGCTAGAAAGAGGACACACTAAAAATAACTTATAAGAAAAACTTTAACACACACGCGCGCACACACACGCACACACGCACACGCGCGCACACACACACACGCACACACGCACACACACACGCACACACACGCACACACACGCGTGCGCGCGCGCGCACACACACACGCACACGCACACACGCACACGCACGCACACACACACACGCACGCACACGCACACACACACGCACGCACGCACGCACGCACACGCACGCACGCACGCACGCACACACGCACACACGCACGCACACGCACGCGCACACACACACACACACACACACACACACACACACTCTTGACTGCAATTATAAAGAACCCAAAGTTCTGATCCCAGCACCCGTATCACACAGCTCACAACTGCCTGTAACTTCAGCCTTCTTTTGGCCCCCATGGGTACTTACATGCATATACATGCATGTGCATGCATGCACAGGGACAAGAGTGTGGCATGGGATGCACTCAACATAGACACCTAATTCATAAAAATAAACTTGACACATGCAGCACTACAGGAAATGCCTGAGACCACTGGTAACTTTGCCTGAAGCTAATGGCAAAGACAGCAGTAAAGCTCTCAGCTAAGAAGCCAGAAGATAGGACAACCTCCTACAAGCTAAAAGCATTATGTTGCAGTATGTGGCCTATTCTGAACAAAAGAACACACCTCACATACAACCATTTATATTAAAAATCACTCTCAGAAAGGCGTGATAACTAACACACAGCTGTAATCCCAGCACTCAGGAGGCAGAGGCAGGTGGCTCTCTGTGAGTTCGAGACCAGCCTGGTCTATATATAGGGTTAGTTCCAGGACAGGCTCCAAAGCCACACAGAGAAACCCTGTCTCAAATAACCAAAAAGAGGAAGGGAGGAAGAAGGGAGGGAGAGAGAGAGGAAAGTAAATCATGTCCACTATCATCCCATTTGCTCACGGGTTTTTGCGTACTAGCATTGACTTCTCTTTATTTCAACAATCTTGTGTTTGTTAAAGTACAACACTTCACTAGTACTTACTCCCTCTTCGGGGAGTTTCCTCCCCGTCTGAAAGTCCATTTGCAGTCCCGTCCTGGCCCACTCCCAGTCTCTGGTCTTGCTGCTGCTGTAACTGCCGGATCATCCCGTCAAGAATGTTGGATTCGGGGCTGGCTTCACCACTGTCGTTGGTCTGTAGGCTTATAATCTGTTCAATCACCTCTCCATCACCTACAAAGTCATCCATAATCTGTAATCACTAACAACTTCACTAAACACATCAACATGGCTGGGGGCGAGGCCCAGTGGTGCACAGCCTGCAAAGAGTTTGGTTCCAGGAACCAAACAAAGGAAAACAAAACCAAACAATACAATAAAGCACTTTTCAGAAAATAACCCTACACGCACAGGGGAGTAATAAACTCAACAAAAGGATTGAAAGCACAAACCTCAGCACTCCTACAGCACCAGTTTCAAGTCCAGCCTACTCCACACAGGAAATTACAGACAAGCCAGAGATACACAGCAAAACCAGACATGCAGACAAGACAGACACACAGAGGAAGACGGAATTTGCACTTACTTGTGGCCACATAGCCTAGCTGTGGAACCAAATGTTCGTCGGCTGAGTTTTCTCGACCTGGTACTAATCTCTGGTACTTGGTTGGATGAGGATTTCCATCTACATCTACCAAGAATGGTGGGGGCATAAGATGAGGTGCCTGTTGTGTCTGCTCATCTAAGACATAGTTATTGGAATCTCTTATCAGTGGTCGGTAGTCAGTATGGAAAAACATTTGATCGGGAATCTATGAAAGTAAAGATCATGGAATGACATTTTGAGATTTTTATTTGTTACAGACAATAATCTTAATGGTACTTAAAAATTAAAAACAACGGGAAATTAAAACAACTATTTTCAAACTAACTCTCCCAACTATTCATCTTATATGCTATGAGAAAGCATTAAAAATGACCTTTTCATATGGTTTGCTGCATCCAAAACCAAATATCAGAAGATGCCCATGAGAGTCTGTACAGGCAAAATGTTGTCCATCCTGTGAAAACTTACAGTCAAACACGGCTCCATGTCCTTGTCCTTCAATCTAGGAAAGGCAGGAAAAAAGAGCATTAGGCACATTAACAAGGCACTTTAGCTCTACGTATATGACTGTTTAAATGTGTGCTCCATGCTCATGGAGGCCAGCACAGGCCGGAAGGGACAAAGGACCACCTAGAGCACGGAGGCACAGGCAACTGTCAACACAGCCGAGGTGGACCTGGACTCACAGGACAGGAGAGCACTCCAGGCTGTCTTCTGCCCTCCATGTGGACACTGTCAAGAGCAGGCTCATACACATATACAACAATACACATATGCATATAACCCTGCACTCTTAGAACCCTTCTGGTAGCCACCCTGCACAACCCGCCCCTTGTTCATCATCTGTATCCCTGCCTAGAATGCCCATCAGTCAACTGGAAGGAAGCAGGATGGCAGGGGTTCTGTCACACACACTGGCCAAGCTACACCACATTATCCCAGGGCCATGCTGTGCAACAAGTGTTCACCATGAGAAAAGCAAGCTCTGCAAAACAAGCCTGAGGGTTCCATGTCCTACACAATGACTCCTGGTGAGAGGCAAGCTGCAACTCTTCCACACAGATCAACAATTCAGGGTCCCCCACCCCTGAGGTCTATTATTTAGGAAGTCCTGTCCCATACCTAGGGAACAAGCCTCGAAACTCGAAGGCTTAGTAGCCAGAGAGGTGACTCCCTAGTTAAATGCACTTGATGTCTCCCACAGAATACGAAGCCCAGTTTCCTAGTACTCTGATCTTCAGAGAAGCCACAATCAGCTACCACCACCCATATCCAGCAGCCCACAACTCTCCAGCTCCAGGCACTCTGACACTCTCTCTGTTCTCTCTCCACAGGCGTCCAAATGTACATGTGCAGGCCAACACAGACATAAAATTAAAATCTTAAAAACACAAGCTCCCAGGCCTCTCAGATGGGCAGTGACGTAGGAAGTTCCCATCATAAAAGGCCAATTATGCTTTGTTTAGGGAGTATTTAAATATATTTTGTTTAAAGTTTGAAATATAGTTTGGCTTTAACTATATTTTTTAATTTAAGTTAAAAAATCCAAAAAACAATATACTGGAGTCATCCACAGTGACACACACCTTTAATCTCAAAACTCAAGAGGAGGCAGAAGATCTTAGGGTTCCAGGGCTACATATTGAAGCCTGTCCCAAAAAAACAAAAACAATGTTCTTATTCTTACTTAAGTTGCTAGGTCTACCTAAATAATGCATTACTGTTGTATTCTTTTTTTCATGATACAGTAACTTCAAATGAAGAGTGTGTGTGTGTGTGTGTGTGCTGTGCTGTGCTGTGCTGTGCTGTGCTGTGCTGTGCTGTGCTGTGCTATGTTGAGGTCAGAATAACTTCAACTTGTGGCAATCCTGCCTCAGCTTTCCCAAATGCTGGAATTGCAGGTTTGGGCTACTGGCTCAAATGTTACTATCCTCATTGAGTTTTAAAGATTTATTTTTCAGGTAAGTACATGAGAGGGGTTGTATACATTGAGTACAGTACCCCAGAGGTAGCTAAAAAGAGAACTTGGGTTCTCTTCAAGCAGATTTTGCAGGAACCACTGAGCTCTCTCTCCAGATTTCCTTACTGAGTTTTAATACTTTTTTTTTTAATGTATGTGAAGATAGGGTCTTACTATGCAGCTCTAGGTATCTTAGAACTCACTATGCAGAACAGGCTGGCCTCAAACTCAGAGATCCGCCAGCTTTCCTTCCCCAGTACTGGAATTAAAGGTTATACACATTAAACCCAGCCGGTTCTACACATTATTGAAGAGAGAGGTATGTATACCTGTGAATTTTAAGACCAGAAAAGGAATCCAAGGCTTAGTCACTTTTTCCAATAATTGGAATATAGAGAAAGTTTCAGGGATGCCTGAATATTGTATTTAGTCCGTGCTACTTGAGCTCAAACTTTTAGTTAATGAAAAGAAATTACTACAGCTTCAGGTTATTAAATTATTCGGACTGCTGGCAGCGGTGGCGCACGCCTTTAATCCCAGCACTCAGGAGGCAGAGGCAGGCAGATCTCTGAGTTCCAGGCCAGCAAAGGAGATAAAGAAAAATATATTCAGAATACAACTTCATGGCAACATGAAGATTATAATGCTAAGCATGGCAGCGCACATCTGTATCTCAGAAGATTCCAGGGTTAAGACTATCCTCAGCCAACAAAGGAACCTGGAGGCCAGCCTAAACGGCACAGAGGAGGAAACACACCGAAGTTCCATCCCCAACACATCCACTCATTCGATGGGGCCCAACGCATCTAACCCACAAACACCTACACTCAATATAAATACACTATCTCTTGGTGAGGTCTGACAAAAATCATATGATAGTTTAATAACTCAAGAACAAAAAATACAGCGAATAAACTCAGTAAGTGCAATTTTAAACAAACATTTCAAATTATCATATCTACATCAATTGAGACTAATAATCATGTGCCTAAGACAATGGGTGAGAACACTTGCTTTATTACATTAAAAAAAAAAAAAAAAAAAACAAAAACAAAACAGCAGAATCTAATCATGAAACGCCACACGGCACTGACCAACACTCTTAACATTCACACACTTGTCCAAAGTTACAGAGCAGCAAAGACACAGCAGAGGCTACTCAAGAGTGAAGGGAGCCATCAACACCGTGCGCAGCAACCTCTGTGGTTCCTGACCCAAGCAGCAACCTAGCACTATGAAAGGCACTGGAGCACCTAATCCAACACTAGATTAAACACTGCCTTTTCCTTGTAGTATGGATGTGTTGTAAATTCTACCATAGGACCCTAGTTTGGTTCTAGAATCTAAAAACTGACTCAGCTTTATACAGGGATCTACACTGATAGGGCTGGAGAGACGGCTCAGCTGTTCTCCTCCTCTAGGGGATCTGAGGTTCAATTCCCAGCAGCACCCACACTGTGGCTAACACCAACCATCTGTTCTCTCCAGTTCCAGACAATCTGCAGCTGCCTTCTGGCCTCTGTGGGCACTGAACACACATTATACACACACGAAATACCCACACACATAAAATAAGCGCACCGACAGGCATACATGCAGAAATAAAAAGCTATCCAGGTAAAACTTATGAGCATCTGTAAGTTTACAGAGAATCATGTATATGTGCATGAGGCTATCACACACTTAAGCTTCTATTACGTTGATCTGTATAAAAGTTGTGTGGCATGTCAATCAACTGGCTAACTCTCATAATGCAATAAAAGCACAAGTAAAAACTCACTTCACTTACCATATTAAAATAATGTTTCATCTTGGTGCCTTTTGTAATATCCCATATAAATATGCTGCCATCGTGTCCTGCAGATAACATAATTCTGGAATCAAAGGGATGTGTCTCCAAAACAAACACTTCATCAGCATGTCCCTTTATTCAACAAAGCCATAATATTAAGGACAGTTTGCAACTTATATGTTGGAAACTAATCTTAAAAAAGTCATATAAAGGCTTTAAAAATATACTAACAACAATTATTTATATAGTATATAAAAATTTCTAGTCATTTGAATCATCTAAATAAAAATGATTTATTCGGTACATTCATAATCAATGTTATAGTTTCAAAGAAAAGAGGGGGAAAGGTTCAGGGCCGTTGATCCTGTGTGAGGCCAGATTGTTTTTCTTACACAGGTAGTTCCAGGACAACCAGGGCTAAACAGAGAACCTTTCTCAAAAGCCAAAACCACATGTTCAGGGTGTTTCTGAGATAGAGACCACATTGAAAGCCAACCCTGACTTGCCTCAAAAAATAATTTTGAGTTTAGTGTGGTGGTGCCCACCTTTGATCCAGCACATGGGAGGCAGATGAAGACAGAGCTCTCTGAATTCAAGGCCAACCTGGTCTACAGAGTGACTTCCGGGACAACCAGAGATACAGAGAAACTCTTTCTCCAAAAATTAAAAGTAGGCAGAAGTGGCACATGCCTTTAATCCCAGCACTCGGGAGGCAGAGGCAGGTGGATCTCTGTGAGTTTGAGGCCAGCCTGTCTACAGAGTGAGTTCCAGGACAGGCTCCAAAGCTACACAGACCATCTATCTCAAAAAAAAACCAAAAATAAATAAAAGTAAGGAGAAATTACTAAAGTAAGAATTTCAGAATTATTGTGTAAGTTAAAACTACCTACCAGTAAGTTATGCAGCAGCTGTCCAGTGTACGAATCCCACACTTTGAGGACATGGTCATTCACAGCTGTGACCACAATGCTATCATCCTGATTCCAAGCTATCATTGTAACTTTGGGCTTCATAAACCTCTCTTCTTCACAAGATGCATCTCTAACAAAGCAAAGGCACTGGGTAAACCCCCTCAGAAGGCACACCACACAAGGTACACAGTCCTTCACTAACAGAATGTGAACAAGAATCCCACATGACGCTCAGCTGGTGGAGTGCTGTTCACGTTCAAGTCCAGGGTTTGATCCCCAGCACCCAGCACAGGCATGTTGGTGAAAAGCCAGCAGGCGGAAGGTGGAGGAAAGAGAATTGTAAGTTCAAGGTCATGCTCAACTACATGAGTCCAAAGGCCAGTCTAAGCTACATGAAACCTACCTAGATCAGGGGAGCATGAAATCAGTAAGCGAGGGGCTACTTCCACCACCTTACCCGAAGCTGGACATTTGCCCAAAGCTCCATTCCCTTGGCAGGGAACCCTGAGACCTGTAAGCTCCGAGAGGAGCCTGAGCCTGAGATACACACATGCGTGCATGCATGCATTCCCTCTCCCCTGCTCCTGACAGTGCATGTCAACAGTTGGGTAGAGTTCCCGCCATCATCCCCCCATAGTGGACTGTCAATCACAAGCCAAATGAACCCTTTTCCCACTAAGAGGCTTTGCGTCAGGGCATTCTCTCTAGCAGCACAAAGAAAGCTAGGACAGAAATACAGAAAATTCTAGCTGGGCAGCAGAGGTAAGTAAACATCATAGTCCTGTAATGCCAGCACCAGGGGGGTGAGAGATAGGAGGATGAGCAGTTCAAGGCCAATCTTGGTTACATAGCTACATAATTCTAGCCCAGCCTGGACTACCAGACACCCTGCCTCAAAAAAAAAAAAAAGGGGGGGTGGGGTGGGGTGGAGTGGGTGGGGTAGGGCTGCTGAGATGGCTCAACAGTTAGGAGTGCTTGTTTCTCTTACAGAGAGATCATCTGAGGTCTGTTCCAAGCACTCACAACAGTCAGTTTACCGTGACCCATACATAACTCCAACTCCAGGAGATCTCTGGCCTCCACAGGAATACACAAACATATTCTCTCCACACCCACCCACCCCCCATCCCCATCTAAAAATAAATAAGTAAAAATAAATCCTTTTTAAAATCCTTTGCTTCTTGTTGTTACTGTTTTTGTGTGTGTGTGTGTGTGTGTGTGTGTTTGGAGACAGGGTTTCTCTGTGTAACCTTGGCTGTCCTGGAACTCACTTTGTAGACCAGGTTGACCTTGAACTCAGGAGATCCGCCTACCTCTACCTCCAGAGTGCTGGTTTAAAAGGCGTGTGCCACCACTTCACACATGTCTGTGTGAGGGTGCCCTGGGACAAAGTTACAGACAGTTGTGAGCTGTCATGTGGGTGCTGGGAACTAAACCCAGGTCCTCTGGAAGAGCAGCCACTGCTCTTAACTGCTGAGCCATCTTTCCCGCCCCTAAAACCCTACCTTTAGAATATAAATTTGTAACGCTGGAAATACTTAATTTGATTGGGGTTTTTGTTTTCCCCTCTACGTCTCAAATGAAAATTCTTAAAAGAGCAATGTAACAGTGAAAGTACAAAGTGAAGAACACTCTGCCCACTTGACTGAAGGACACTGCCATGTGTGTGCCTGTCATATTTTAACAGATAAGGAGGAGACCACCAAATCACAACGGGTCAATCAGAGTGGATCGTATGACGGCATTACTAGAGGTGATGAAGGGCATGTGGGCCTGCTGGGAGGCAGTAAGTCAGTGGGTATCTGCCACAGGACTTACATTCTGTCCGTCCTAGCCTGTTCCCTCTGTTCCCTCTGCATGGCACACACCGCTCTGCTCAGCCACATCCTTGCTCCATGATGGACTAACACCCCTCAAACACTGTGAACCAAAGTAAATCCTTTCTCCTTTACTCTACTTTCTGGAGAGTTTGGTCAGAGTAATAAATACACACCTGTAATTTTCTACATTAATTCTGTTAAGCGATTGAAGAATTTTATTCCTAGTATGATGGAGGTAGTGAAAACACTCCAAACAAAGTAAACCACATGCAGAAGAAACAAACACACCCAGAGTTCACCTGTGTGTAACAAACAATCTCAGTGACTTACCCAGAGATTCTGGTAGCCATATCTAGTAAGATGCTTCTCCATTCCAACTGTTCAAACCTCCAAATCCGTGCTGTTCCATCTCTGCTACCACTTAAGAACCTTGAAATGTTCAGGAAAAAAAATTATCTACTCACAAGCTAGCCAGCAAGACTAACATGAAGTGAAACACAAATTTACAGGCAGATCTTCAGCACAGCCGGTTGCAGGTACCACTCCAGGTCAGACTAGTCAATGCAAAGCTGGGTGGGGAAAACTCGCATTTACTATGGTTTGCCTGCTCCTCAAAGCAGAGCACATTACAGACTCAGCTGCCTCACAAATACACTGTGTTGTTTTGGGAAGACAATAAAATACAAGGGGAGGAGTGTACCTAAGGGGATGAAAGAAAAAAGGTGATGCGGGAAGACTAGCACCAGCAGAAAAGCAAGCATGTCACAACAAACTATGAAATATAAGCTATAAAACAATTTGAAATTCACAACTGTACTTTGGGGCCAGGTGAGATGATACACACCTTTAATCCCACAAGAGGGAGGTAAAGGCAGGTGGATCTCTGTGCTTTCCAGGCCAACCTGATCCACGGAATTCCAAGACAGCCAGGGCTACAGATGGGGCTGGACAGATGGCTCAGAGGTCAAGAGCAGTGGCGCAGCCAGAGGTCCTGCTCTTGACCAGAGGCTCTTCCAGAGGTCCTGAGTTCAATACCCAGCAGCCACATGGTGGCTCACAACCATCTATAATGAGATCTGGTGCCCTCTTCTGGCCTGCAGGAACATATGCAGGCAGAACACTGTCTATACATAATAAATAAATCTTTAAAAAAACAAAACTGCACTTTGGGGAAGGAACCAGCCACATCCAACAGGCTAGAAGGCAATTGTAATGTAGGTTATCAAATACTTGCTCATGAGAGCTTTAAGATGTTCCTTAATGTACTTGTTGAAATTAATTTTTTTCAGGACTCACCCACTAGTTAGTTAGTAGTCACCCCAGGAGACAAAAGCAGCAAACACACCGTGCTCTGTCCCACCACCCCATCTACTAAAGCACTGCAATGCACGCCACAAACAGTGTGGGATGACAGACCACCATCAACAAGCCCACAAGGCAGCATGTCCAAGTGTACCCCACAGATCAGAATTTAACTGCAGACAATAGCGTGAAGCAGAAACTATCTGGTAGCTGGAGCAAATAGGCAGTGCAGTGTTCTTGCCTGAAAACACACAAATGCAAGCACACACTTACCGGTCGCCATTGTTACAGAACTGGATGCTATCAACTTTGTCCTAAAGAGGAAAAAGCATATATGAAAACTACTATATAGTAACTATCAATTCACTTAACAGATCTGTGTGGAAGAAATACACTGGGGGCACATGCCTTTAACCTCAGCACTTAGGAGTTTACATAGAACTCTGTGAACATATCTACATAACAAGCTCCAGAACAGCCAGGGATACGTAGTAGAGTCCCTTTCTCTAAAAAAAATGAATACATTAGTTTAATAGCAAGGAACTGACTTGGTCAGTCATGACATCATGTGTCTTTAGAGGTTCACTAAAGAGAGCCATGCTCACAGAGAAAGACTGACATACGGCTACAGCTGTGCTGAAAATTACACCTTGACTAGCACTGAAAGTGACCAGAAGTCTCTCGAAGCCAAAGGATGCAGGACTTGACTTATTTATGTACAAAATGAAACATGTTCTCTTTTAGCACAACCTAAACCTATCCATTAAACAAGCTCTGAATATGGACTGTTTTCCATAAAACTTTACCGTATGGTGGACTAGAGAAGGCTCAGTGGTTAACAGCAGAAGCTAATTTTCTCGAGGACTAGTGCTTGATTCCCAGGATATATACACAGGGTCTCAGAACCATGTGAGTTATTTCCAATTCCAGGAAATCTGACACCGTCAGTCCTCCAAGGGCACTAGTCATGTATAAAATTACTGGGCACAGCTGGGCAGCTGCACACATGAACACAAAACAGGTACAACAGTATCACAAGAACTGTTCAAGTCCAAACCAGACCAAATCTCAGTATTGTGTAGAGCTACGTGAAGCTATGAGCAGCTGTTAGTTGACAGGACAAAAAGGTCAGTTTTCTCTGAGAGTGTATCCCCTGGTAAAGCTGACCCTGCTTCAGTAGAAGGCCATACTTCCAAGAATATTTGGGCAAACAAATTGGCTGTGTGAGTAGGGAAGAGTTGGAGGAGGTGTGGTAAGGGTGAATATTATCAAAATATGTACAAAACTGTCACAGAATACAGATAGAGAGGTAGATAGATAAGACCAACAACAGAGAATCTAATTCACCCTGTCTCTACAAGTAAGTAGGATAGGTCTGGATGGCAGCTCATCAGTTAGAGCAGGCACTGCTCTTGGAGAGGACCTGAGTACAGTTCACAGCAATTAACCCATGTGGAGCAGGTTCACAACGGCCTGCAGCTCCAGCTGCAGGGCAGCCAATGCCCCTGCTTCTGAAGAAGATATACACCCTACCCCAACAAACCCACATGTATATACATCTATAATAATAACCCTGAGTAGGCCAAGGCATTAACTATAACAAAGGGAGACCAGAGCCTGTCTCAAGAAGCCCAAAGTAATTGGGGGGAAAAGTTATTTAAAAAAAAAAAAAAACCTCAGTTAAATTAGTAAAACAAATTAATACATTTACAGCTTTTAAAAAAGGGATGCTTACGGTATGGCTCTCAAGTTCGGCAATTTTCTCAGGCGCTTCAAACCCCAGAAAATACATTCTGATCACATGATCTGTACTTCCTGTAGCTAAAAACATACCACCTGAAATAAAAATGTAAAGAGTGTAAATGTGTAGCTTATAACAGAAACACCAACAAAGCATACTTCTAAACGTATAGCTCTCTACTCCATATTTAGGGTTATCACTACACATCCATCCTCCAGCTCATACGCATATGCTTGTGGAAAAGCTCACCGCACTGGGAGCACCCCCTTATCTCACTCAGCTTCACTAAGTGCAGCAGTCCCGAACAGGCTGTCTCCTGAGCGATGACTAACGTACAGAGCTCACTGGGAACAGTGTCACTTCTTGAGGAACGCAATGGGCCTAGTCTACAGATTTTGCCATCAAAGTCTGCTGTACAAGAAAAGAAGGGGAATAACTTCAACAAGGTTCTAAACAAAAGCCTGTCTTCAGGCAGGGCATCAGACAATCACACCCTACACATGGCCGTGACACCAGAGCTGCTGTGAGTCTCTTTATGTATCAGAGAAGGGTAGTGTCAGACACCACAGACGGGAAGACAGCCAGATGGCGGATCTCTGTCACTCTCCTCGGACAAGCCTATACCCATGTTCTCAGGTGTTATAATAGACAGTAATTAAAAAAATCAGAGTAAACTCCAGAAATAATCAATGATCATCACAAATTATAACTAATACAAAGAACAGAAGTCATGGGTAACTTTAATGATCACTAACCAAGTGATCTGATAAATGCTAATTTAAATTCAGGAACAGCAAGCATCAAGTGTTATCTTACCAACACTAAATGAAGAGCACAGCATCTGCACACCAGGTCTTGGCTTTTCTGTGAACTTCAGGGGGCGTGGACTTTAAAAGAAGAGGATAAGCTTTAGAATATACAGACATATATACAGAGAGAGAGAGAGAGAGAGAGAGAGAGAGAGAGAGAGAGAGAGAGAGAGAGAGCGCGCGCTGGAGTGTTATCTATGACTACTGAGTGTGTGGCCTGTACCACAGGTCACACTGCCAAGGTTTACTCACTCACAAAGGTGAGCACTGCTTTAAGTGTAGCACTTTCGCATTACTGGCAGAGCTCCTTGTGCTGGGACACAGCTCCACTGGAGACTGCTTGCCTACACAAAGCGTGGGTTTGTTTACAAACACCACATAAATGAGACAAACCCAAGTTCCGTGTCAACATGCTTCTATGTTGACGTGACTTCAATGAAAGGCTTTTAGAGGCTTTAGCTCATGTACAATAAAATATACTTCAATATGAACCTTTAATTTTCACCAAAAATACTTAAGTTTGGGCTGGGGTACATTATAAATCCAGGTACAGCAACATGGCAACAATAACAAGTCTCCCAATTTCATTCAAGACGTACTGGTTAAGTTTTCTGCCTTAATGTCGCCAACATTTAATCTCAGCATTAGAAGAAGTAGCAAGTAGTTCCCTGTGAATTGGAGACAAGCCTGATCTACACAGAAAGTTTCAGGCCAGCCAGACCTTTGAAATGAGACCATCTCAAAAAGAAAAAAGGTAAGGGTTTCTCGGTTTCCTGACTGTCCTAAAACTCTTATCTGTAGACCAGGCTGGCTTCGAGGTCACAGAGATCAGCCTGCCTCTGCCTCCTGATGCTGGGATTAAAGTAGCTTAATACAATTGTTTTTACAAGTTCTCCACAAACTGAGTAACAGCTTTTACGTGGAAAAGAGCATTTCCATTCCTCAAGCTCACTAGAACACCAAGTTCTCGGTCGTCACAAGCAGCTTTGCAGCCACTGTTCTCCAACAGTGCTGCTGTCTAGATCTTGAACTACACACCTGCCTCTCCATTTCCATCTTTTCTAAATTAATATCTGCTCTTTGACTCTGCTTACAAACGTGAGCAGAGAAAGAGAACCTTTACGCTTTGCTGTTAGACTGAGGTTGACGTAAGGCATGAGAAGTAACAGATTAATAAGTTCAGGAGAAAGAAAAATTAGGTCCTTCTAGCCCATCACCAACACATCAGAGAAACTACCTCGTAAGTCACTCACCTGAATTTCAAGGACTCCAAATCCCACTGCCAAAAGCAGACAGTCCCATCAGCACCAGTGGAGACCATGTATCTCTGAGGTCCTTTGGCCATTGGGCTAAACTGAAAGTCAACGACACACATGAATCCATCTAGACTCCTTAGTTACAGCTTAGCAGTTTCCAACTTCACATCACCTGACGTGTTAACAAAGTACAACACAAACTCAAGCTAAGAGTACATGCTATCTCATACATGATCTTGACCAATTTTCACAACAAGCAAACATGAACCAGAGTAATTTTGACAGTCAAGGTCCAGTTTTAGGAAACTAAAGTATGCCAAACCTGAGCCTCAGTAACTAACACTATTCAGTGTTAACAAGTACATGGGCACAATAAAATATGGGAAAAAAAACAAAAACAAAAACAAAATTAGATATCCCCTTTTGAGGGTGGTGGGGAGGGGGAGTCCTATCCTGGAATTCACTCTGTAGACCAGGCTGGCCTCCAACTCAGACAACTCAGAGATCCACCTGCCTCTGCCTCCCAAGCGCTGGCATCAAAGGCGTGTGCCACCATCCAGCTAGTATGAGACGTTTTACACGTGGTGGGAAACGATGGGTGGTATGGGAGGAGGGTCATGATTGAGACAACAACACAAGTATACATTTCAAATTCATCAGTGACTTCAGAGATTTTAGAAAATAAACAGAACTAAGGAAACCACCAAGCGCTCCTATAACATCTGATAAGAAAGACATGTGTGGGCCAGGTGGTGGTGGGAGGCAGAACTTGAAAGCAGTCAGTAAATCACTCTGGAAGTTGTGTGTTCTTCATAATCTGCAGAAATACTTTATCACCTGAGCTAGAGATGACTCAGCTGAAAGAGCTCTCAAGGATTCAATGCTCAACAGGCACACAGCAGCTCACAAGTGCCCTCTTCTGGCCTCCAAGGGCACTGCACACACAATGGTGCACACAGTAATGAGTCAAACACACCCACACACAAAAAATAAAAACTAATTTTAAAAAAGAAACAAAATATTCAAGTTTTTAGATGTATAATCACATCAATTTACTATTTAATTATAAAGGGTTCTCGGTTGTTTTGGGGGTCTTGGTTTTTCAAGACGCGGTTACCTGCAGGGATGTAATGGACCCCGTGTGTCCTTGTAGCACAGCCACTGGGGCACAGGTCCTCAAGCACCACACCCTGATGATTTTATCACAGCTGCCAGCGGCTATCAGTGTGTTCTCGTAGTTGACCGCCATGTCTGAAATTTCTGCAGAGTGGCCTCTTAATGTAGACAGCAAGCGGCCATTGTGTGTGGACCAAATCTTTACCAGACAATCATCTGACCCCTAAGAGAAAGCAGCACCCCAAGACAGATGTTAGCACAGCATCACTGACCTCCCTTTCAGACAAAGGCTGTAGTGACTACTACTATCCCCAGGACACAGAAAGGAGTCAGATTCACCCAGACTGTTTTCACAAAGTTCTCTCGCAAGACTGTAGTGTGGGTCCAACCCTAAATTCCTGCTCCTCAATGCCAGCTACAGGAGCAAGTTAGTAGTACACCAAGCTACAAAACTCAGTATTGGGATAGACCTAGATCCCCAGAGCCACACTACACACAGTGGGGGAGGCATCCTCTCCTCAAATAGCAAACAAGAGTCTCTAATTACAAGCCCCAAACCAGACACCATCCATCATTCAACACAGCTGATTATTTTTTCAATCTGCTTAAAAAACTATTCTCCTAAAACCATTGGAGCAATCACTCTAAGCAATCTTCAAATAACCCCTTGAACAGAGAAAGGTTGTTTTACCGTGAACCAGTGATTAATCCACATAAGCATGCATCATCATTACTAATCTGGGATTTGCTGGGTAGTGACAGGGAATTTTTTACTGATAATGATTTATCTCAATGTTATCTAATTCCTTAAGTTCCAAATGGGCTAAAAGAGAAACTTTTTGTTTTCAAATAAAAGAAAATACATAACTAAGAATACATCACTGAAGAGCTAGAAAGATGGCTCTGCAGTTATTTTGAAGCAGGGTCTCCTGTAGACCCAGCAGGCCTCAAACTCACATTATACAAAATTCCTCAGTGTTTTGGAGCTGCCACTCTCAAACAGTTCAGAATTGACTGTGTTGCTCAATCACAATCATTTGAAGTATGTATTGAAACTACAAACTCTTAGACCCTGCCTACACCAGACCTTCATGCTCATTAAGGTATGCTAGGACTCTCCCGAATACACAGCCCTGCACGTGGAAGCAAACTGAGTTTAAGACGTTAACTCACTGTAAAGATCCTATGTCCTGTCCTATCAAATGCTACACAGTACACAGCAGACAGATGTCCGAGAATCCTCCTGTGCATCTTTATATGCTGGTACATGGTTCCTGGGAACGCTGTGCTAAAAGTGGAACACCCTGTGAGCTGTTTTCCTCGATGTATCTCCACTAGGAAATAAAAACAATGGAAATGGTTAAGGGGGAGCCAATATGTAAAAACTAAAAAAAGATCCCAAAACAATACCTAGAGTCTGAGAAACCCAAAGGACTCGGGCTTTGTCCTTACTCTACTGTACTATAGCATAAGCACTATGATTATTTTCAGTTATTTTTTATTACTTTCAGCCAACAAGAAATTTGAAATTTGGTTCTTAATACTACTGTGACACTCTACCAGCACTTCCACAGCATTCATAAAGTCTTCACGAAATCAAACAATTTTGTGGCCTCACAGGCCAACCGCACTCACCAAGACTTGGTGGGGAGCCATAGTTCACGGGCATTTCAGGAGGTCTTCCTCTATGAAGAGCAGCAAAGGCAGAGCCCTTCCACACTGTTTGCCTGCAGTCTTTAAAATGAAGTTTAGATACACATAAAACCTTGAAAGTTAACCCAAAGAAAGATCTTATACAATACTTACGTACATTGCAATAAAAGGTTTATTAAAAGTTTTACCAACTAATATAGTGTAACATCAAGCCTGGGAGGTTTATTATACTCTTTGTGGAGACATCTGGGTACAGCAGCAGTGACACTAACAGCACAGCACTCTTCAGTCCACCAGTGCTTCCCACATACAACAGCCCATGGAGCCCTCACAACAACCCTGTGAGGTAGGTGTGTGTTCCCACTGCGTACACATGAGATCACCGAGGCTCTACGGCCTCGGGACCTTTAAAGAGATCCACTGCAAATGATTAGTAAGAGGGACTGTAATACTGAGTTAACTGTTTATTTTTCAATGCAAAATACCATACAACATTAAAAATGAGCAGTCTTATCACAACCGATTCCAGTTTTCAAAAGTGGAGAATTTTAAGAAGATATTTTGAACTTATCAATGTATTTAAAACTCTTTGACTTGACTCATTCCATCTAAAATTCGTTTGGCCAGTACTATTGCCTTGAGCTCAGCAGGAAGAATTGGTGAGTTCAAGTTAAATAGCTTCCCGCTTTAGGATGGAAGGCAGCTCTCCGGAGAAGAGCACTTACACGGTGTGTTGAGAGTGAGTGAGCCTTCTAAAGCCACATCCCGCCCAGGTCTAGAGGAGATACACTAAGGGAGGACAGTGCTCCGCTGCTGAGCTAGAATAAGGTACTTCACAACCGCAGACAAAGGAGGGCATCATACTGAGTCACCTCACTGAGCCTCGGGTGCCCACACTCACAGGCACGGCATCCTCTGGCGCTAGCACAAACACGAGCAGAAATAGTGCCCTCTCTGAAATCTGTATGTCTGCCAGTTCTCACACAAGCCTCATCACAAACAACACTAAGCTTGAGCTTGACACAAGAAAGAAAATGCTACCCAAGCAACTACTGAAAACACAACTAACGATGAAAATAATTACAAAGTGAGCAGGGATACCAAAAAGGAGGATGGGAGTTTCCTGATTAGAGCCACAGTGCAGCAAGGTTATAGGACACTAAGAAACAACTAAGGCTGGCAAGCAGGTCTGGCATGAAACCAAGAAGCAGGGTGTTCTTTCTCAGTCACGCTTTGTACTAGTGGAGCATCTAAGAGGTAGCATTACATCAGCAACAGCTCATAACAAAATAATCATGATGGAATTGAAGTCTGCTAAGATCAGAACCAACACACTTGCCCATTAGCAGTTTATAGCCACATGTACACATAGAGCATATCACACACAGGTACTCAGTCTAACTCAGTTATACGAAGCTAACAGAAAAAGTATAGCAATTCCAAACATTTTGCTAGCATATGACTTAGAAAAAAAAAAGTTAGTAAAAAAATAAAGGAACCATGCAAATTTACATTTTTTGGTGCATGTTTTTCAAGCTGCTACCATATTATTTTTTTAATCACGTCTCCTTATAACAAAGGACTTTCAGAGTCTAAATATCAAAAGTAATAATTCTAGTATTTAAAGAGTTTATTAGACATATACAATTACATCCATTGAAGTTATGAGTGAGCTACAAAATGGAAAAGTTAACTCACATTGATAAAACCTCAAACACATCTTAAATTCAAGCTTTTTAGCTTAACATCTACGTCTTTATCAATTCTGAAATGCAGAAGGACCCATTAAACACACGATAAAATTTAAAGAGCTACACTAATTGCAGAGAATTTATAGTCCATGGCATTAGTTACATTGTTACCTTCCACAATGCTTACACAACTTCACAATTATAACATAAGCTATTAGTACAAAGCAGAACACTTCTTCAAATTAAGGTACCTTTTGCTGTACGTAGCAAAGACTGCCTTCCTGCACCAAGCAAAGAAGTGACTCTTGAAATACTGGGTGGGATTTCTTTGTCCAGCATCGGGCCGATGCGCTGGCAGATTTGTAACAGGTGGTCAGGAGCCACATGCTTATTGGACAAGACCTGGTTGGAGAGTTAAGTTTTAGTAGCAACATAGCATACAGGAGCACTCAATCATTTTTTTGAATTTGATTGCTATATGAAAATCACACTGAAAACTGCAAAACATATTAAGAAAAACTAAAGACATCTTAAAACAGTAAACTGTCTATAGACTCAAATTCCACTTTTCTTTACAGGACTTGACAATTTTATTCTAAAATTCATATGCAAATGACAGAGAAAATGTTAAACCAACTTTGAAAAGGAGCAAACAATACTCTAGCTCAAGACCTGTTACAGAGGTGTAATGTATAACCAAGATGGCACCAGAGAACAGACACGTCACAGGATGAACTGCACAGGGAGAGAGACTGACGTGTCTAAAGCACGCATTTCTGACAAAGCAGGCACAATCAACTTTTAATGTATACTTCTGTTGTGCTTACATACAGGGACTGCACGTGAGCCTGCTGGGCATCAACACTGTCATGTATAAATGAAAACTAAACAACTACTAGAACAAAATGTAAACAGCAGATATAATCATCATGTACAACAGAGTGTCACTGAGTAAGTTTCAATTATATATAGAAACATAAAAAGAAATTGTTATATGATCTCAGGGTCAGAGAATTCTAATGGCACCAGAACAACAAGCCAAAGAGAAAACAGGTCTTCTTCAAACAACTGTTTCCTCAACAGGCAAAGCAGCCGTCTGATGAGGCGCCTGCCTCTGGAGCAGGTGAGAAAGGCCCAGAGTTCTCGGTGGTACTCACACAACACAACACTCAAACTCTGCCCAGCACTCAGCTGCCGGGATCCAATTCTGACCCAGTGACTTGGGCAGACATCAAAGAATGGGATCCAGGTGGCAAACGGGCAGAAGACACCCAGAGAGCAAGGCAGTGAGGCAACTCAAACCACAAGGAGCCAAGGCTAGTACTAAAGACTGCCAGACACTGGCAAGCCCAGCACTTGGGAAGCAGAAACAGAAGTTCAAGACTACCTAGAGCTATATATATATGACACTCCATCTCAAAAAGCAGAGGCAAAAGCAAAAACTGAGAAAAAGAGAACATGGAGAAACATCTGATGGGTATATTAAGGGACTAGTTACTGAAAACACTCCATTCCTAAGCAACCGTATTTAAAACACATACTCATACAAGTAGGCACATTAATGTTTTTTAATGTTAAGCTATCTGTGTAACTGTTCTGCCTGTACTTCTGAGTACTATGTGTGTCAAAAGAAGGAGTTAGATATCCCTAGAATTGGAGTTAAGGATGATTATGAGTCACCACATGAGTATCAGGAACCAAACCCCAATCCTCTGCAAAATCATCAAGCCCTCTTAGCCACCGAGTCATCTCTCTAGGCCCTATATGAACGAGTGTTAACAGCATCTTTTAAATTAAGGTAAAAACCAATTTCCACTAACTCATCATTAAGTAAATATGCTATACAATACCAGTATACTAAGTAGAATAAAAAGAAATCATTAGGGCAAGCACAGTAGCTCACACCTATAATCCTAGCACTTGGAAGTCAGAGACAGGCAGAACTCAATTTCAAGGTCAACTTGGTCTACATATCAAGTTCCAGGCCAACCAGGGTTAGAATTGACTATTTTAAAAGATGGCCCCACACTTCTGCACACATGGACAGCACTAACTAGATTCAGTAGATCATTAAAAAGAAGGAAAGGGATGGTGATAAGAGAAGATGCCAGAGAAGATAATCTAGGAAGCTGGGACATTGTATACATGCATTCAAGTATGGAAGAACAAAGAAACTCAAATAACTCACTGGTAAGATAGAAGACAATTGTGCTTAAGAAGGCAGAAACCACCTACTGCACTCAGAGCATATCAGAAAATGATGAAGGGTACCAAGGGAACTCTTCACTGTTTCCAATGTAGTGACAAAATGTTAATTACACCTCAATAAAAAGAAGCCACAGGAGCAAACACAAAGAGAACTGTAATTTTAACTCATGAAGATGCACTGTTAAATGACATGAATGCTTCTGGAATAAAACTGAATGCTGCCTGCCTAGAGCTTCTTTTTTTTAAGACAGTTTCATTCTGTATCCTCCCCTGGCTGACCTGGAATTTGTTAGGCAGATCTGGCTGGCCTTGAGTTTGCAGCGACTCTTAGCCTCCAGGGTGCCAGAATCATAGGTGAGCCACCACATTCAACTTCATCCTCCTTGGCTATCTGAATCGCAATGCACCATCACTTCTGAAATGACAAATCCCACTAGGCAGGATGAACCCGAGGGCGGGCAGGCGGGCAGGCACCAGCACTGTGACAGACAGAAACATGTCCAAACTCTGAGATACACACACTCCTCCAGAGAAACTGACATGTCAGAGTATAGATCTACACTCACAGGAACTACTTACTGGTTAACAAGGGGCTTCTGCTCTTAATCCAAATGTAAAACAGCCTGATTCCAACAGAGGAGTTTTATTTATGCAGAGTGATAGAAGAGGCTATAGAAAATCTTTCAAACTTCTCAACTCATCTTCCCTCCCACATGGCAGGTATCCAACAGAAAACTTTTAAAAAAACAATCTAAGCCAGGGGCACACCTTTAATCCCAGCACTCAGGAGGCAGAGACAGGTGGATCGGTGGATCTCTGTGAGTTGGAGGACAGCCTGGTCTACTGAGCCTCCAAAGCTACAGAGAAACCCTGTCTCAAAAAACCAAATCAGATCGATCGGTGGATCTCTGTGAGTTGGAGGACAGCCTGGTCTACTGAGCCTCCAAAGCTACAGAGAAACCCTGTCTCAAAAAACCAAATCAGATCTAAAGTAATCTTTGATTTTTTTATATTATGATTAGCACTTTGTGCCTGAATGTCAGTATTTAAATAACTAAAGACTAATATAGCTCATTCCTTTATTACACAGGATTGAATACCTCAGTATTAAGAAAAATTACAGGCTGAAGTACATACTTTGCTGGGAGTTCAAACCCATCCTAGGCTCCATGTAAGACTATTTTAAAACACAAAAACTTAACAATTAAGAACACCTAAGAGCCAGGCCATAGTGGTGGCACACATCTTTGATCCCAGCACTAGGGAGGCTACTGGTCTACTGGTCTACAGAGCGGAGTTCCAGGACAGCCAGGGCTACACGGAGAAACCCTGTCTAAAAGATTACAGAAGTACCTCGTTACAATCCTATGTGACATACTCACATTTACTAAGATGGTACTCCAGTACAGAATGAGATTTCCACATTGAAAAACCAGTGCTACTGTTACACAGTCTAGCATGAAACCCTCTCAGACATGTATTTGGCTTTTAGAGTGTTTGGTGTGCTGTATGTATATACTCTCTTCAGGTCCTTAATTGAGCCAGCTTCTTAGGGGCATATAAGAAAGCACAGGACCATGTGTAGAGGCAGGTGCCTGCAATCCCAGCTCAGACAGCTGAGCATGAGGGTCTCGAGTGGAGGCAGCCTAGGCTTCCATACATGACATAGCCCTGTGTCAAAATCAAAACTTGCATCACTGCACTGTCACGGTACTAATGACAGAACTTGGTCACCCAGGGCTTCCTGCTCCACAGCTGTAAAACAACAGCTGCCTGAAGGAAGCAAACCAAGCCTACAACCTCTGATGCAGTTATGCAAGTCTCACTGCACGACTGCAAGTTTCTTGTTGACTACTGAAAATCTTTTCTGAAAGAATTTTACTGGAGTCTGTCTAGGTTGTTTGTGCTTTGTTGTTGGGGTGTGTGTGTGTTTTGAGATGGTCTGGCTATATAGTTCAGGCTGCTCTCCCAACAAGAAATCTGCCTGCCTCTGCGTAAGTAAGTGCTAGGATTAAAGTCTGTGCCACCAGGTGGATCTCTGAATTAGAGGCCAGCCTGGTCTGCAAATTGAGTTCCAGGGCAGCCAGCGCTATAGAGAAACCCTGTCTTGAGAAAAAAAAAAGTGTGTGCTACGATGCCTGGCTATGTTAGCTTGGATTAAAGACACCTGTGTTATCTTTTTTTGTTAATGATTTATTACTTGCTATTTTATATTTCTCTTATAATACAGAACTGGGGTTAGATAAAAGCCAAGTTCACCCAGCAATCACCTTCAGTTAAAAATGAGCTGAAAGGCAGAGAAGACAGTCCCTAACATCAACAGCACACTTGGGTCTGGTCCAGTCTCTGAGCTGCTAGGACTGCAGGTGTAGTAGGCAGCAGGGGTGAAGAACTCTCGCACGTGGTTGGAGACGGGTCACAGCAGCAGGAGCCCTCGCTCACTGTCTCGCTGAGGACCTGATTTGGTTCCTAGCTCACAATGACCTCATTTCCCAGGAGTCTGACACATCCTTCTGACTTGCAAAGATATCACATGTGCTCATGCAAACATTCAGGCAAACCAAGCATACACACAAAATAAACATACTAATAAAAATGTTACCCTGTTCTGAAAAGGAAGCAAGAGCCTTCACCTTCAGCCTTGAAGATGAAAAGCACAGAGAAAGGCTGGCCATATTGAGTACACAATGACCAAGCGCAATCACGAGTTATCACGCTTCACCTATGACAGCCACTGGCAAAGAACTCTATAAGCATTCAGGCAGGAGTGACACACGCCTTTTCATCTCAGCACCCAGGAGGCAGAGGCAGGTGGACCTCTGTGAGTTCAAGACCAAGATGATCTACAGAGGGAGCTCCAGAACAGCTACACAGAGAAACCCTGTCTTGAAAAACCACACACACAAACCTCTATAGGGACCTTGCAAGGGACATTCAACATTTGGAGTTGGAAAAGTGGAAGCGTTCCTAAGATAGTGTCTATGCACTGACCAAAGAGGGACGCAAGAGGGAGGGACAGCCCTTTGAGCTGCTGTCCTTGTCCTGAGCACAATGGACCATTTCTCAAATGATTTGGGACATACAACAAAAAGTGCAGAGGTGACGCCAGCTCACTGGACACATGAAGAAGCTTCAAAACAAACCTGCCCCAAAAGGCCACGCCAGCCCGACTGACCTACAACAGACCTATACATCTGACAAGCCCAGAGAATATGAGATGCACACAAATCCCATGTCTCAGAAAGGACCCAACTCTGCACGACAACCAACAACCTCCCATCTACAGCAGTGTCCTGTGTCCTGAACACACTGGGCTTCAGTTCGGCCTTGTCAACTCGACCTCACCCAACTTCTTGACAACCAGCTACCACTTTTCCAAGCATCTAACTTAGCAGTCAAGAACACTGAATGCTCTTCTAGAGGTCCCAGGTTCAAAGCCCTATACCCACATGGTGGCTCACAATCCTTAACTACAGTCCCAAGGCATTTGACAGTTTTCTGAACTCTGTGGGCACCAAGCCACCTGCAGTACAGACAAAACACCCATACACATAAAACTGAGTAAGTACCAGCCAGGTATGGTGGCACACACCTTTGAATCCCAGCACTGAGGCTTGAGGTAGTATGGCGAGTTCCTGTCTGTTCTATTTAGCAAGACTTTGTCTCAAGACAAATAAATGTAAAAGGGTTTGTTTTATCTGGGGAGAGGTTGTTTTTAAAGTACAATGGCATTTATTTGCCTGTATGACTATGTCAGGATGTCAGATCTTGAAGTTAGTTTGTGAGCAGCCATGTGGATGCTGGGAATTGAACCAGGGTCCTCTGGAAGAGCCCAATCAGGTAGCTCACACTGTCTTTAACTCCAGTTCCAGGGGACACGACACTCATGGTAAAACACCAATGCACATGAAACAAAACTTAGGAAGAAAGAAAGGAAGGGAGGGAGGGAGGGAGGGAGGGAGGGAGGGAGGGAGGGAGGGAGGGAGGCAGTGGTGCCCAATGCCTTTAATCCCAGCACTTGGGAAGCAGAGGCAGGTTGATCTGTGAATTTGAGCTCAGACTGGTCTCCAGAGTGAGTTCCACAACAGCAAGGACTACAACTACACAGAGAAACCCTGTCGTAAAGAGAAAAACAAATACACCAAAAAAAAAAACAGTAGTAATACAATATAATTTAGTAATGTAGAAATGTGTAGAATTTGCTGGAAAATATTCCAGGTGTGCCTGACCTAAATAAATAAATAAACAAAAAATAAAGCTTCGGTGAATAAAGGTGCCTGCTGCCTAGCCTAACAAGCTGAGTATAGGCCTAACACTCACTCACAAGATAGAGCAACAGTGCCACAAATTGTGCTCTCAATTCAACTCACCCACTCATATGCCTTCCCCACACACACACCAAATACATGTAATTCATAAAATAAATTACCGGAGCAGACCTCCCAGACCCTAGAAGGAGAACCAGCTCTCACAGCTGACCTCTGCCATCACACCTGCCAGGGCACTCCAGTGACTATCACACACACAACTCCAGCAGTTACAGAACGAACTTGCTTCAAAGGCAACTCAATGTGGTCAGAGGACACAGCAGCACAATTAATCACTGGCTAACAGGTAGTTCAATAGGGTGAGAACGAATGACAACATTCTAACTAATCATAGGTAACAGGTAGCTGGTGAGTGGGTCAGCACCCTCTATCTGTTGAAAATTTTCACTGATAGTAATAAAAATGCAATGTCTCAAGCAGAAACTAACATAAATATAGCAAACTGGTAAGTTGCAATCTGTTAATGTATAGGGGATAATTCCAGTTTTGTGTATACCTGAAATGGCACAAACCTAAATGCTAAAGAAAAAAGGAGAGTATCTGAAGTCTATAAGCTACTACTATACATGTACCCTCCATAAAACAGTAACAACAATGTTCTAGGGCCAGTGAAGGCTCACTGAGGAAAAGCGCTTCTGTGAATTCCTCTCAAATCCCACAGCCCGTTCCCAACCACCAGGGCTGTAAGGTGATGAGGGAAAGAACACCCAAACAGTAGCCAGCAGATGGTGAGCCACCGGTGACACACACCAGCTATTCAGCCACAGAAAATGTACCTGCCAGTACCTGACGTGGCTTTTAAGCAATTCTTACCAGCAAAAGACAAAAAGGAAAGTCTTCTCTGAACTTGATAACTGTGGCTACCGCAGTAAGGCAAGCCCTGTTTGTTTCTCAATTTCTCACCAGTAGAAGTGCAGTGTAGAACCAGTGTCAACAATAACTCCAGATTGGTTTTTCCTGCCCTCCGAAGGCTGCTTTAGTAACAGGAGTAAAACTTAAAACACAACCTCCTTAAATGTCCCCTAAACATGGTGTACGTCTTTAGAGCTCAGGAGTCAGGGCACATGGATGTCTGTGAATTCAAGGCCAGCCTGGTCTATGGAGTAAGTTCCAGGACAGATGGGTCTACACAGAGAAACAGGCAGACATTGACACACAGAAGCAGACAGACACTCATTCCTCCCCCTGTCCCCCTCCTTCCCACTCTGTCCAGGGCACCTGGAGATATCTAGGAAAGGGGTGTGGCTCCAGCTGTGCCTGGCTGGAGCAGTAAATCAGAATCCTCCAGGAGAGGCAGGCCCTGGATTCACACCCCAGCATGAACACACCTTAAACACAAGGCTTAAAATATCAAACTAGAAAAACACAGTTGGTCCACTAGTTTAGAAAAAGCTCTTGAAAATATTCACTAAGCATTTTTTTAGTGTACTGGGCATGTGTACATGTGTGCACACACATGCTTGAAAGTGGGAGGCAGAGACCCACTTGGGGAAGTAGGTTCCCTCCCTGATCCACAAGGGTCCCCAGGATTAAACTCATGTTATTAGGGTTAGCAGGAAGTACTTTAAACTGAAAAGCCATCTCACCGACCTAAAGCATCTGCTTTTTAAAAATAATCCTCAAAAGACCAATTAAACAATCCAGCAGCCCTGTTTAATTCACAGGCTCCCAATGTCATGGCTCACACCTGGCTCAACAGAGAACAGAAACCTCCTGAGCACTTGGGCCATCGATGCTGAGTGTGTACTTAACTGCTGACACTCACAACTGACTTAGTAACTACTCTAGGAACAGGACTGCTCATAGGCCGGGCACGTGGGGAAGCCCGTGTGCTGGCAGTCTTCTGCAAGCAAAGGCCAAAGGGCCCTATGCGGCCAAAATACAACGTTCCCAGCGTATACAAAGTGCTCGATGTAGGCTAACAAACGAACGTTAAGGCAAAGTTTTCGTCTAAACTTAAAATTGCCAAAAAAACTTTTTTTTTTGGCAAGTTTCCGTTCTGTGAACGATAAAACCCTCAAAACTTTCGTTGACTGGATAAAACTCAATTACACAGCACAGAATATCTAAGGAAGTGTAGAGAGAATAAAATAAAAGGAAATAAAAGGAACACACACACGTTAGCACTGAAGAAAACTTAGAAAGCCAGGCATGAAGGTCTTTCGTCCTAGCTCTTAGAGGAGGAAGCAGGCAGATGTGAGTTCAAGGCCACCCTTGGTCTTAGGAATGAGTTCCAGGCCAGCCAGGATCACAAAAGCAGATGGCCAGATGAAATGTCCACTTAAAGCCTACACCACTACATACACAACATGAAGTGTGAGCCAACTTCCTAAGGCTGGGAGAAGGTACCCAGGTCACCCCACCGCTGCGGGTGGGGGAGGGGGGGACACTGCAGGGGGGGCTGTCCATCTTCCCTGCCGGCTATTCCTAGGGAACAAGTGGTCTCAAGCCCTGGGCGGGGCAGGGGAGGGCAGGCCAATGAGAGCTCGGGTTACAAGTCGGAAAGGAGGGCGAGAGAGGGCCCCTCTGAGTGGCTGGCGGTGGCACCTGGAGACCCAGCCGGGCCGCGAGCCAGGGGCGCCCCTGCCCGTAGCCCGCACCACCCCCAGAACCGTTTTCTGCCCAATCTGCCCCCAGCCGCCATCGCGAGCCCTCGGGCCCGGCGGGGGAGGGGTGGGTGTAGGGGGTGGTCAGGCCCGCCCGCCCCGGGTCACCGTGAACCCTGAGAGCGGCCCCGCGGCGGCCGCACGGGGGCAGAGACCCGGCGGGCGGGCGGCGCGCGGGCGGAGGACGCGGACCCGAGGGCCGTGCTCACCAATTCCTCGTAGCTCCTGTCGTGCTCGTTGCCCTCCCAATCCAACCTCTTCGGCAACAGCTGGAAGGAGACACGAAAGGCGCCCGAGTGACCGCCGGGGACGCGGGGCCGGGGCCGGGGGGACAGGGACGCGGGGACGGAGGGGGACAGGGACGGGGCCGGGGAGACAGGGACGGGGCCGGGGGGGGACAGGGCCGGGGACGGAGGGGGACGCGGGGACGCGGGGACAGGGCCGAAGGGGGACGCGGGGACTCGGGGCCGGGGACGCGGGGACAGGGACGGACATGGACGGGGACGGAGAGGGACGCGGGGCCGGGGACAAGGCCGGGGGGACAGGGACTCGGGGCCGGGGACGGAGGGGGACAGGGACGCGGGGACAGGGCCGGAGGGGGACGCGGGGACTCGGGGCCGGGGCCGGAGGGGGACGCGGGGCCGGGGCCGGGGCCGGGGGGACAGGGACTCGGGGCCGGGGCCGGAGGGGGACGCGGGGACTCGGGGCCGGGGCCGGAGGGGGACAGGGACGCGGGGCCGGGGCCGGAGGGGGACGGGGCCGGAGGGGGACAGGGACGCGGGGCCGGGGCCGGAGGGGGACGCGGGGCCGGGGCCGGGGACGGACGATGACCCACCTGGTACTGCTCCAGCTCCTGCACCAGCACCTGCGGCGGAGACGCTCGGTCAGCCCCGGCGGCCGCCGCCGTGCCCGCCCTCCCTCCCTCCCTCCGTCCCCCCTCCGTCCCCCCTCCGTCCCTCCGGGGTGCCCGCGCTCACCTGCGCCGCTCGGCGACACGGGCCAGCCGAGAGGTAGCGGGCGATGAGGAAGTACAGCTCTGCGGAGGACAGGACAGGCAGGGGCGGTGAGCGGCGGCCGCGCGGCGCCGGGCAGGGCAGGGGCGGGCAGGGGAGGGGAGGGGAGCGGGGCACGGACGCGCGGCCGCGGCTTACCCGACTCGATGAGAGGCACCGGACGCCGGGCTGGCGAAGGCTCCGCCATGGCTGGGCGCGGGGCGCGGGGCTCGGGGCGGGCGGAGCGTGTAGGCCGCGCCGAGGCCTGACCTGCTCACCGCACCGGACCGCACCGCACCGGACCGCACCGGACCGGCCTAGCCCGTACCCCCCGGCTCCTCAGGCGCGCGCCGCCGCCGACGCCGCCATGCCGTGCGCGCCGCGCGCCGACGCGTCCGCCGCAGGAAGTAGCGCGGGACGAGACCGGCAGGGGGAGCGAAGTAGTCCCTCGGCGGAGGCGGGGGCGGAGCGGGAGCGCGCGCCCGGCGTGGCAGGACGCGGGCGTGGCGCCCCAGGCTCGGGGAGGCGGGCCTCGCCTCTTCGCGTCCTGCGTGTCGGGGGCGTGAGGCGGCGGGGGCCTGGCGTCCGGCGAGCGGAGCGGAGCGGAGCCGAGAGGAGCGTGGGGGACGGAGGGGGGCGGCAGCGCGCGGCCCGGATCCCTGCGCGCGGTGAGGCGGCCGCCGGCCTTTGTGCGGAGGGGGCGGGGCCGGCGGAGGGGGCGGGGCGGGGCGGGGCCGAGCGGGGGGCGGGGCGTGCCGGGGGCGGGGCCGGCGGCCGCCCGGGCCCGGCCTGAAGCCCCCGAGGCTAGGGAGGAGCCACGCGGGAGGACGGCCGAGCCCCCTGCGGAGGCGGCGCCAGCGCTCGGCCCCCCCGGCTCGCACCCCGCTGCCCGCGCCGCCGCCGCCCACGAGTCGGCCGGACGCAGAGGGACGGTGTCGACCGCGCTGGGGGCCCCGAAGGTCGGAGAGTCGGTCCCCCCGATGACCTCACCGTGTCGGTCCAGTGCGCGCTGACCGAGCTCTGACGTAGGGCGCTGAAGAGAACTGAGCGTGGCCATTGTTGGATGTCTTAGGCGGCAGGCAGGAAAAGCCGACCCAGCGGAGGGCAGGCGGCTGCTGTCTGTGTCCACACAGGGTCTCTCCCCCCCCCCCCGGGGCACTGGGGGCTCCGCTTGCTTTTCTTTCCGTCCTGTCTGCGGTGACCCGCAGGCCGATCAAGGTCATTTGTAGGAACCCTGTCTCGTGACCAGGGCATGCTGTCAGCCGTTCTCGGGCCTGCCCACGGGCATAACCTCCACTGCCCAGTCCAGCCCGGGCTGGAGTCTCTGCCTGGACCTTGGACTGGCCGCAGCTGCCAGGTGTGTGTGCGGACGTAAGTCAATGGCTTAGCCCCCGTGTCCGAATTGACTTTACCTGAGGATTTAATGGGCTAATAATAGCGTTTCCAGCATCTGCGTTGGCTTTCATTAATTACATGGAAGACTGAAAGTACATACAAATACATTGATGCCCCACACCTGCTCAGAGTACTGCTCGCTCAGCAAACACCAAGTGATAAGATAAAACGTTGGAACGGTAAACTCTAGCCTTCCCATCAAAACAGCCTGGTGCCCTTTAGGGGAAATGTGAACTCTAATGATAAAGACTTCTCGGGGCACTGGTATAAAGAGCAACTGGCTTGAAGGAAAGGTACGTGTGACGGTGAAAAGCCAAAGAACTCAAGTTTCAGGCTGCGGATGTCGCTCGGTGGGCTTCCATATCTAGGCCTGATCCCAGGCACCACATAAACTGAGCACCTACTAATCCCAGCGAAGTTCAAGGACAGGCTCAGCTACATGGCAAATTTAAAGATGACCCCGGGATCCATGAGATCCTTAAAAACGAGTTTTGTCCTTTTATCCGGAGTATTCAGGGTGACTGGTAGGACCAGAAAGTTTCCAACTGAAATCTGGAGAACTAGAAAGTTCCGATCAAGGAGAGGTAGCAAATTGACATCAAGGTACAGGAAAATATAACAGAGAGAGGGGGGAACAGGGGGAACAGTAGCCATCAGGATGAAAGGATGAAGGTTGGATGCAGCACCAAATAAAAGTCAGGGTCTCAGGTGAAACCTATTGCCACTTTTGCCACTACGGTTGCTAGGGCTTGCAAACTGTAGTTAGAGAGTTCCAGATAGGGGCTGGAGAGATGGCTCAGTGGTTAAGAGCACTTAGAGAACTCAGGTCTGGTTCACAGCACCCACATGGTGACTTGCAACCATCTGTCATCCCGGTTCCAGGGAGTCCAGTACCCTCTAACAGCCTTTTCAGATACATTCAGGCAGAACAGTCATCCACATAAATCGAAAAAATTATTAAAAACATAACTTTGGAACACCTTATTTACATTCTGACTCAAATATCCTTTGGATGCTATAACACAAAGCTCCCGAGTGGCAAAGATGGAATTGGGGGAGGCGTTACACAGCGGCTCCAACCTTTTCTTCTATGCCTGTGTGTGTGAGAGCAGATGCCATGTGTGTTTGGATGCCTAAGGACACAGAAGAGGGAAGAGGGCATCAGATTCCCAGGAGCTGGATCACAGGCAGTTGTGAGCCACCCCAAGCCAGTCCTGGGACCTGAACTTGGGTCCTCTGGGAAATGAAATGTCCTTGACTACTGAGCCACCCTTCCAGTTCCTTTAAGTGTTCAGATTGACCAAGAGTCACTTTGTATCTGTATCTGTATCATAAAATAAAATGTAGTTCCCAAATGGATACAAGAGTTTTCTTCCCAAATGCAGTCATTGTCTGGGTAAAAAACCTAACCTTGGGTGGGCAGCATGGTAAGCCTCACGTGAGATCAGAGATGAGGAGGTGAAAGGTGAAAGCTGTGGTGTAATTAGTGGTAGAGCACTTATGCACAAGGCCCTGGGATTGGTTCCAGCACCTACTGAAGAAGGAAGGAGGAAGGATAACGCTGCCCTGGTGGGAGAAGGGGCATCTTCCAGGAGTTGGTTCTCCTCTTGTGCATGGGTGCTGGAGATTGCACGTGGACCACCAGGCCTGGCAGCAAGCAGCTTTACCCTCTGAGCCTTCTCTGTCTCCCACCCACCTTCCCTCCCTCCCTCCCTCTCTCCTCTCTCTCTCTCTCTCTCTCTCTCTCTCTCACACACACACACACACACACACACACACACACGAATTTTCTAACAAGGCAGAATGCCATCCCCATTCAACTCAGATCAGAGGCCCTGATGATTCATAGCACGATTGCCAGGAAGAAAAAGGAATACACTCTCAGCCAGCAATGCTCTGGTACTACCTGCCAGACAGAAATCTCTTAAAACAGGACTAAAACTGTGTGTCTAACACAAGTGGATACAAGCTACACTGGAATTGCCCCAAACAGATTACATAAAGAACGGAATTATCAAAAGATGTTTGTTAGCAACTGGGAAAAAAAAAATCCCAACAGTGGGTAATGTGGAGAGAGTGCTGTCACCCATCTCCACTTTGAAACCCATTCCTTTCTTAGGCAAACAGCTTAGTCCAAACTTTCTTAGTCCAAGCAGCTGCCTCAGCTGAGAGAGAGAGAGCAGAAGCCAGAGAACTGTCGCCCGGTGAGAGGCAGGCAGGAAGCAAACTCAGGCGAGCGGCACCACCCTGACTGAAATCAATCCCCACAGAATCTCCCTCTACCACATGGGGAAGCAGGCTCAGCCAGCCCATGAGATCAACAATTTGAAAGACCCAGAGATAAGTGCAAGCATGTTGTTGGTTATCCGTATTAAGAATGAGGAAGCTGGGGCTCACTGAGTTTAAGGATTCCCTAAGGGGTCAGTGAGACGGCTCAGAGGGTAATGCCGATTGCCACCAAGCCTGACAATCTGAGTTCAGTTCTCAGGACTCACAGATGGGAAGAGTAAACCAGCTTCTGAAAGTTGTCCTCTGACCTGCACTCTACATGCACGCACACCACACACACACACACACACATACACACACACACACACTTGTGCGCACATACTCTCTGCACACTACACACATATTTTTAATTTCCCTAGGGCTAGAGAGACAGCTCAGTAGTTAAGAACACTTGCTGTGCCTGTGAGGCCCCTGTAGAGTTAGGATCCCAGCACTCCTATGACAAGCCAGACATCCCAGGTCCAAAGGATCCAGGGGCATACATAAAGCCAGATACAGTGGCACATGCCTATAATCCCAGCAACCAGGAGGGAGGCACAGAAGACCAGAAATTCAAGGGCATCCTTGGCTACATAGCATGGGACAAATGAGACTTTGTTGCCAGGTGGAGATGGCACACACCTTTAATCCCAGTACTTGGGAGGCAAAGGCAGGTAGAGCCCTGTGAGTTCCAGGCTAGCCTGGTCAACAGAGTGAGTTCCAGGACAGCCAGGGGAGCCAAAGCTGTTACACAGAGAAACCCTATCTCAAAAAAAACCAAACCAAAAAAAAAAAAAAAACCAGTGGAGGCAAATCTGTCTGACCACTGCAACCGCACATGAGAAGCGTTCAGGAAATGAAGGTTGTGTGGTAGAGCACTTGCCTAGCATGTGTGAATTCAACCCTAAAACTCCCTTACCCCACCAGCACCCTACAAAGAGACAGTAGGCTGAGGGCTGGGCGTGCTGCTACACATCGTAATCCCTCACAAAACAATAGACGAAGTTCCAAAATAGGAGACTTGGCGCCATCATTGACAGACCTGCATACACGAACAAGGGCTGGGCTCCAGTTCCCAGGACTGGCATGAACTAGGTGTGGTAACACGCTAACACGCATCTGAACTCCCAGAACTTGAGAAGTGAAGGCAGGAGGCTCACAGGTTCGAAGTCATTCACAGCAGGCAAAATGCTCACCACGCAAGCCTGACAACCTGAGTTCAAGCCCCAGGTCCAGAGCCAACGTGGAAAGAGAGTCAACCCCTAACGTTGTCCTCTGACCTCTGTAAATGGACAATGGCATGAGCACACACACATTCGTGCACACACACAGAGTTTCTGACTAGCCTGGACTCCCTCACAGGAGTGTCTCAAAACCACAAAGAAGTCAAACTTTGAAATACTGAAAAATGAGATAGGGAAGTCTGTAAGCAGTAAAGATCATACAAAGAAATTCTAGGTCTAATAATAGGCTAATGGAAATTAATTGGTGGTTTGGTTTGCAACAGGGTCTCTCTGTGTAGCTCTGGCTGTCACAGAAATCTTCCTGCCTCTGCCTGCCTCTGCCTCTAGGAGTACTTCGATTAAAGGCATGGCTATATTAACTGAATG